CCTCCTGTTACAACAATAAAATTAAGAATTTCTCCGTCTGTGATAAGTTAGTTAAGCTAGTTTTTTATAAGCTGGTCTTCATTCATTTTGTTTTCTGTTGTTTTACACAACAGAACTGACTGGTTCAAACTTGAATCCCTGCTGTCTCTCTCTCTCATATCTAATGTTAAATAAAAACTCTATCTGTGCTTTGAATGACTGGGAACGTGCATGTTCTTTTTGTATATGTGCACTGCTGCGATATATGGTCCAATATTTTCCTCTTTTTATTAAAAATCAGATATATGAAACCCAATGTTGTCCATATCAGATATGATGGGAGGTTCATCTCAGACTGAGGCTGGTAAATACGTGATTTTTTAATAATATTTGTATATCAGATGGCTTTGTGCTTTGGGTTTCTGAGCAAAGAAATCATATTGTGTGAGGTGTTTGGGTGATTAAACTAAAGACACGAGGGGGACAGCACTGTGAAATAAAGCTTTACCTTGCTGCACGGGGAGCATTTTGCTTCATGATGGTCTCAAAGGTTTGTTTTGTGGGTTTTTAGGTTTCACTAAGAGGGAAGGTGAATAAGTGCCATGTATCATGTTTGTGTGGTAACATCCAGTATGGATTAAACAATGACTACTCAAAATAAAGCGGTTTAAGTAACTGGTAGATTCTCTTCAATCTTTAACATCTTTCATGTTGGATTTTGTGGCAATGAACTTCGAGTCCAGGACACCGACTCTCAGTTTCAGTCTAATTTCTTAATTTGGTAACTTGATTTTTTATGTTTTTTCATGACAATAAGTAATATATCGTCTTGAGCTTGTATCTCAGTTTTCTCGTCCTCTTACAACTAAAAGTGCTTTTTACACCACATGTCACAAACCATTCACACACTGATGGCTTCTATGTAACATGTCCATCTGTACTAAATAATCCATTCAAACACATTTACAAATTCCTGACGCATCAAAGGGAACAATTTGGACTCTTTTACATGTTGCGGCAGGAGCTGGGAATTGAACCCCCCAACATTCCGGTTGATAGATGCTCGACTCTACCACTGAGTACATGATTGGTCAGTTCAACACTTAAATGTCATCCCTCTGCTATGTCAGCATGAGAATGACCAAAGTCACTACCAATATATTTATTTGTAGACCTAATATGCAGGTTAAGAGCAGCTGTGGCTCAGTTGGTAGAGTCGGTCGTCTCTCAACCGGAAGGTCGATGGTTCGATCCCCAGCTCCTACAGCTACATGTCCGACGTATCCTTGGTCAAGAGGCTTCATCCCAAGTTGCTACTTTGTTGGTGGTGTATGAATGGGATTAGTTACTTCTGATGGTCACATAGAAACCTTTACCATCAGTGTGTTAATTTGTAGGTGTGACCTGAGGTGTAAAAGCATTTAGAGCAGTCAGAAGACGGGAAAAGCCCAAAATAAGCTCAAGTCCATTTACCTTTTACCAAGCGCTAAGCCCACCACCACTGGCCAGGGCCGTAGCTCCGGTTAACAGGCCTTCTCTCCTCGCTTTACTGACAGGAAGTAAACCAGCACGTTGGGCTGAAGACATCTGAACATAGGCTTTGTCAGGTTAAACTGGCATATACTCAACCAGAGCCATGCGTAACACCATTTAGGCAGACATGCGGATGTTAACCAGCGAGGAGAACTGAAGGCTGCGGTGCTGGCACTGCTCACGTTAGCAGCTCACCTGCAGATGATCCTTGCTCAAACTGAGACGATAACACAGCTCATCACAACAACCACTGCAGATATGCTTCACCTTAAACCTCAAATATTTATGTTTCTAAGCAACAAAAGCACAGTTTCTAGGGCTGGAAATCTTTGGCTGTCTCACGATTCTGGATTCATGATGCAAAGTCAATTTTTCATTTAGTACATCCTTCAGGATCTACTCCAGTCATCTGAGAGACTGGAGGAAATTCTTGATGCTCCATTTGGCGTTCTACTGAGTTAAAGAGCTAGCCTTAGCACTTAGCACCAGTAGTTAGCACCCCAGTTAATATAAAGTAGAATAACCCTTTCATGGTTTGTGTATGTGAAGCTAAAGTCTTTACTGGAAACAGTGAAGGTCAAAGCTCAAAACAGAAACGACGGTCACAAACGATCAACTGCTCCACCACTGAAAGGCCCTGAACACATTATTCCATTATTACACTGTTTGCTACATTAATAGACTTTACATATAAACACAGTTCAATGCAGTTATATTAAGATCCAGCACAGTCCTGGCTTGCCGATGAATTGCTTACATGCAGGAGCTGAACCTTGAAACAAGTTAATTAGAGCTCTAAGTATGTACAGCCTGACTCTAATTAGACCGTGCAGTGACAAATCAGCCTCAACTCCACAAACGCATTAACTCCTTCTGCTCCAATAACACATGCCGACTGGCCTTCAGATGCACACGGAGCCTCTGACACCAGACAGAGCTGAGGAGATATTTCACTCTGCACACGGGCTGATTGCACAAACAAACAAACACACACACACACACACACACGCTAATACGCAACACGTCCGGCTCTCCAGGCAGACCTCTCCTCCCACACATATTACTTTGGCAGCGACAGAACAACAGCATCTTCCCCCGAGAGAGCGGACCAGTGCAAAGGAAGAAGAAGCGAGGGAGACAAGGAGGCGTGAGTCTCTCAGATTAAAACACTAAATATACCGAAAATGTTAGAGACATTTTGTTCTCTGTTTCCGTCTGTCTATATAATTCCTGCCTGCCCTTTAGTTCAACCAACTTTAATGTCTTCCAACTTCAACAATATTGCCTCAGCAAGAGATGTAAACCTGCCAAAGCACAGTTCACTTACATTTCCAGATCATTCTCACCCAAATCCCCCATGAATCATAGTGAGGCGAAGCAGTGTGTGTGTGTGTGTGTGTGTGTGTGTGTGTGTGTTGTGTGTGTGTGTGTGTGTGTGTGTGTGTGTGTGTGTGTGTGTGTGTGTGTGTGTGTGTGTGTGTGTGTGGTTCACATCTAAACTCATTGCATTTCAACTTTATTAAGATGAAAATCATCGAGCGAGTTTTTGAACTGCGTTCGATTGACTGTCGCAGCCAACTCCCGAGGTCGTGGTAAGTTAAAACTCAAAGGGAATTAAACCTGAAACAGATTTTTTCTTTCGTCTATCATCAATCCCTCAGGCTGCAGGGTAAGTACTACAGGGAATGAAAGGGGATGTTTCTCATGTTTGTTCATTTCAACTGTACATCTCTGCTTTCGTCTCACCCTATGATGACAATTCATGAGATGTGCTTCATGTTGGCGCGTGATGTTTTGCATCAGACGGTGCTCTTCCCAGTTTTTTGACTCTCTGGTCACCCGGGTCATATCAGAAATAATCACTTAAGGGACTCTAGATAGTCTAGCCGCTGTGTTTTGGGCACCATGTTTAGAGGTTAGAGGTTAGAGTCCTTGTTGTAGCGGTTGTGGGAACAAAAAAAATCTGCAGCATTCAACGTGACATTTAGCAAACTTAGAAGAGCGTTGCTAATGGAACAACATTTGTTTTTCATTTAATCTTTTATCTAAAGGACGATAAACTTCTGTCTCCGAAGTGTCTGCAGCTTTGTGTTTTTATTGTTGTCAGTAAAAGACAATAAAAACTATTAAACTAAAAAACTATTACAGCCTCCAACCTCTGTTCCCTGTCAGCACTTGATTGGCAGTCGGATTGGACTTTCTATATATACACTATCTATATATACTGCCTTTCCCATTCGGGGTCGCGGGGGACTGGAGCCGATCCACGTTGCCATTGGGATACACCCTGAACTGAACGCTAGTCAATCACAGGGCTGACATGTAGAGACAGACAACCAGCCACACTCACATTCACACCAACGGGCAATTTAGAGTCTCCAGTTAACCTAAAGAGCATGTCTTTGGACTGTGGGAGGAAGCCGGAGTACCCGGAGAGAACCCACACATGCACGGGGAGAAGATGCAGACTCCACACAGAGAGACTCCTGTCAGACGGGGAAATCGAACCAGGAACCTCCTCGCTGTGAGACAATAGCGCTAATTGATTGGACTCTATTGGCGCAAATCAAAGTTGAACTCTGCAGCGAGCACGAGCAAGTTACTGAAGACACTAATTTGAGTTTTAAAAGTTCATGTGATGGAGCCTTTAAAATGTTGTCAGTTAATACATTTACAGCCCTATCAGATACGATATGTTGGGTTATATGATATGATTTCAATCAATGCCATATGATACGCTACACTACGATATGCTATGATGCCATGCAATGTTTTGTATTGTGATTTGACAAAACAAAAACTCTGATTCGATGCCATGCGACACGATAAGAATAAGAAATACTTCATTGTTCCCAGGGGGAAATTCAGTAAATATATACATACATAAAGATAAAATACATTATGCTGTCCTGATCTTCAGTGCTGCACATGTTCAGCTGCTTCTAAACTAAAGTACAGTAATACATCGAATACCCCAAACCATAGATGTTCAAGCTTTGCTGAGTGATTTACCTCTGACATCATATCAAAGTGAATTTTGTCCGAAGATTTTATCCAACCTATCTGACCCTCAATGTGTTGGTTTAGTGATGTTTTGCATTTGATGCATTTGCAGGAGGTTTGTGTGACTGCTACATGTTGGGTTTTATCGTTTGGCTTCTTTTGTTCTGTTGGGATTTTGTTCATGTTGTTTGTGTGTTTCTGCAGTTGGTTGAATTCTTGTGCTGTCAAGGCACTTTGCAAACCTTTGTTTTTAAAACAGCTATACAAATATTGTTGATGTTATTTAATAATGTTTATTTTTTCTGTCTTTACACTGATTTTTTTTCCCCAACCTCATCCTCATTTTCAGCAGTGACATTTACCCGCTGATTCATAGAGGTTAAAACCACACTGCAAAGGTGGTGTCCTTTATTCCACCTTAAGTTAAAGCTGTCTTCAGACAGTGAAGCGTGTTGAGTAAGAGGCGGATCAGACATGTCTCCTACCTATGGCTATGAAGTCCTCATGGTCCCAGGCCTGCAGCTGGGCCAAGGGGCCGCTGTACAGCAGCAGTCCGTCAGCCACGTCCGTGATGAACTCCAGGGACACGTGACTCTCAAAGCAAGGCATCATGGGAGGGAACCAGGCATATCCGTTGCCTTGGAAACTGTGCTTGTTCTGCTGGCACTCGGGCCCCTCGTACTGCGCTGGGCATTGGCACCTTGGGAGAAGAAGAAATGATGAGCCAAAATTACAAGAATTACTGAATGTAGATTGCTGTAGTGTTTTTTTTTTCTTGACCATTCCTTGATAATTTTAAAAACCTTTTAGATTAAAAAAACTGCCTCAGTGCATTGAGAACTCATTCTGATCCCACTCTCCTTCCCCCTTTCCACTTTAGAGCCCCTTACTATATGAAAGACTTCAACTATTCTATCTGTGCTCTCTTCCAGTGAAGTCCTTTTTCTCCTCGGAGACAGCCTCCCCCTTCGGCCATCCCTCTCACTCCGTCTGCTTCACTGATGCAGATCTTCTCATTAGTGGAAAAAAAAAACACAGGGAGAGTCACTGCACGACTGGGGAACTCCTCTCTGAGTATTTCCATACATCCAGGAACTCATTTTCCCTTTTTCATCCTGTCAAGATTCAACCACTCAGCTCCTCTGCTTGACAAAGTCACAGCCCTGGAACAACAGAACCTGTTGCATCACATTTACTATAAAGGTACACAGTCTTCTCTGTTCATGAGATCAAATGGTATCATCATCCACACACACACACACACACACACACACACGTCTCATTGGTGCTCTGCAGACAGCTCATTTCTCATCCGCGTGTTTCTCTGTTGTCTTGCTAATTCCCCCCTTTATGCACGCACACAGTGGGAAGTTATTCAGATAATGTATATGTCATGACGTTTGAGAGCCTCCATTACGACACAATTTCATACGACAGAGTCAGAAGGTGTGGTTATTTCACTTCACAGATTTTGTCTATGTGTTCTCTCACTGTCTTTGTGATGTCACTTATTTCCCTGCACCAAAATGATACTCCCTTAAGCGCCAATCACCAAGGAATTACCAGGATTTGTTTCCCCCTCACTTTAAAGGGGACATACCATAAAATAAATCCACTCTTACAGTGTTTTTGAACATATATTCTGGTAACCTGAGTGTCTACTGACCCACAAAATGTGAAATAAACCCATCCAGTCCTTTGTTTGTGGTCTGCATAAGTCTTACAACACAGACAAAAAAGCTCTGTTTCAAATCGACTCTCTTTGTGATGTCACAGTGGGAAAAAAAAATCCCCTCCCCTCCCCTGGTATCTCCACCCATGGACTCCACCCCCAGCCTAGAGAAAAACTTTTGCGCATGTCCGCCATTTTTATTCTTGCTACAGAGGAGTGATGTCTACTGGGAAAACTCAGGGGGGGGTCATTACATTTAAAGAGACACACACACCAAAACGGAGCGTTCTGAGAGAGCTGGTTTATACAGGGTCACAAACCTCCTCTGGTGCTTGATTCATGTTATATTTTGACCAAAGCACAGCACAGATGTTTCATTTAGACCACAGGGGGGCTGTTTGAAAAGGTGGAGAAGGAGGAGAATATGTCTTCTTTAAATTTGAATGTTTCGTATTTTAGTCATGGCTATTTATTGTTATCACAAATGATCTGAAGCCAAGCTGTAGATGCTTTAGACCTCGATCTGCTCAAGAAGACACATCATTTCTATGAACTAGAAGCACTAGGAAAACATCCACGACTGACTTTCCATTTTGGCTATGTCATCGTAATTCTCAGCACGAGGGACAATCTGAGACACAGTTTTAGTCACAATGGCCAAGCCCTCCAATCCTCTTAAGGCAGCTTTGTTTTGCTCGCTCGCTGTCTGGTGGGAATTTGTGTTTGTTAACGTCAGACCAGGGAGCTGTAATCCCCCCCCTCTCCAACCCCCCTCGCCTGTCTAATCTCATTATTAATCCCAGCACCTCGATTATCTGCATGTTCTTCTTTCAATCTTGGGCCGTAATCTGTTTGTGTATTTGTTTTGGGTGGGGTCATATCAGAAATCCTCTGGAGCAGAAAGGTATCCGACAGCACTTCTATCTTGTGTTAACACTTATCTGATCTGCATGTGTGATTCCACCTCACGTCTCTTCTCGCTCTTCTTTTCACATGACCTCCTTTCTCTCGCCTGTTGTGCACTTGTGTTCCATGTGCACTCCCTCTTATGTCCTTTTTTTTTATGTCTTCTACACATTTTCTTTTGTCTAACACTTTCCTGTTTCTTTATTCTCTAACACTCTTCAACGTCAAAACTCTCTAATTGCTGTAATTGCTCTTTTCATACTTTCTTTTGTCAGTCCCTAACATCGCCTTCTCTCCGCTTCTCTGGTAAATCGCACACAGATGCTTCAGAGCTCAGGTAGTGTTGACTGTTAGAAAATATAACATCTGCTTTGTCTTGGGTTCAACCTGACGTTCATTTAGCTGACAAGTCACTGATAAACATTTTCTGCACTTTTATTCAGGCCCACATTGAAGGAGCAAACAGTAAGAATGATAAAGGTATCTTACTATCTGATCAAACATTAATGAAACATGCTATGTTAAAGTGCTGGCTTCTCTGACAACAATGCAGCAGCCAGTATGTCCTCCTTCTAACTTTAGATTCTGCTCCTGAATGCTCTGGATTTGTTTGGACCAGAGAAGGTAGGCGCTTTTAAGACACACCCCCACACAGCCGTTTTGGATGCCCCTCTGTTTGTCAGATATGAGAGCAGTTATCAGGTCAACAGGTGTTGCAGTGATGGAAGCGGTCAAGAGAAGTGGTTCAGATAGAAGTGATTGTACCCGACCTAAAAAGCCTCTGCATGTTTCTAATAAGCTCCACGAGCAGAAACGTGCTCAAACTAGGATCAATATTGGAGATGCTTTTGAAAAATGGAGAGAGGTTAGAACACAGAAAGGTTTACAGACCCATGCAGAGCTGGATAAACACTGAAGCTTCAGAGTCCACCACATGGTGACCTGAGTGAGCATCCACTCTAGAGAGGAGGGGGGAGACAGCTCTCTGGGGTTTATTATTCACATTTACAAACACCTGTTTGTGAAGAATATTGCTGAAGTTTGGATTGTTTGATCTTTTATCTCTCATGCTTAGAGCAGACTCTCAGAACGATAATGTAAGGTCTGCTGAATCAATAAAGAAGACAAAGATGCCTTAATATACAAAGTGATGCAACGCTGCTGGCAGATTGGTTTAACAAGAAACAAAATAAAAGCAGACAAGACGGCTATATTTATTCAACAACAGGGATTTTAACGTGCTTCCAACAAGACATCAAAACCATCAAGAAGAAGAAACATCAACCTCTTTATCAAATGTGTGTTTGTGTGTGTTTGTGTGTGTGTGTGTGTGTAATCCAGGGATTTCTTCAACATGGACTTGGCCAGTCATCCTGCTCTGGTCCAGCAGTGAGCCACATTACACGCTGGCTGCAGCCAGCCAGACTGAAATCCTGCCCTTTTCACTCGCTGCCTCTAATTAAATGAAGCTGAAGGGTAAAATTGACTTCTACAACACACAACTAGAAAGCTTAGCAGACACATGTGAGCTGAGGCTTCACGTTCATCTGCTCTCACAGAGGAAAACTGTGTGTGTGTGTGTGTGTGTGTGTGTGTGTGTTTGGTTGTGAGGCTGAACATGTATGTCTCTGTCTGTGTTTCAGGATAAAATATTTGAGCACGTTAAGCAAACAACACCTGTAGCAGCAGAAGCTTCTTTAGTCTCAAATTCAACCAAAGTCTGATTAGAAGTGTGTGTGCTTCACCGCCTCCTCTTCACATCATCTGTCAAGCTACAACAAGTCATTTATCTCAGTTATTTTCAGATTTAAGTCCCTCCACATGGTCACGTCTTGTTAAAAAATGAAGTCATACTCAAATTAACTTAAATAATTTATTGTGTTAATGTTTTGCTGCCACAGCATGCAGATGTAGTTTGTGAGTTACAAGGCCGATGTGTCCTTTGAGGAGAAGAAATACTCTTTAACATTCACATTAATGAATAAAAGAGTCTGCAGCACTGGGCTTCACCCTGTTAGACACTAAAGTCGACGACGACCTGGTGCCTCCATCTCCAACCAAACGAGGGCTACAACGGCACCTGGATCTCCTAATGATAATATATTGATATGCTAATAATGTCAGCTAACAAAAGTTAGCAGAAGCTGCAGCTTTGCTTTAATCTGTATCTGTATGATCTGGATAAAATCATACAGATACAAAAATTAATCCAAAACTCATGCTGTTTCTGTTTTTACCACTAAAGCGTGCAGTGATGCAAAGAGGATGACGTCCGCTTTATTAATGAATCACTGTATGTGTGAGAAAATTGGCTCTTAATTTCATCATAACATCAGTTTTCTGCACAGAGTCACAGATGAGAGCCATGATAAAAGCTTAGATCCAGACATTGGTGTTTCTTTTAATTGGTTGCAAAGAGCCCTTCACTTCCACCGCTGAAGACGGAGCCTGAGGATACATGCAGCATCAAGCTGAATTACATGAAGTTAAACAGGGTCATCGTGACTCCTCCACCAGCAGAGACACTAGACGGAGCCGATTTCGTCAGCGTGTTTGTAGTTAAAAAGGATTTGTTGAAATGCTCTCAGCCCACTTTTGGCCTTGTTTACAGACTGGTTTATGCTAATGACGATGCTCTCTTCACTTCACAAGTTTGCCAGGAATCTTAAACCAGAACTGGCACCATGTGACAGCTAAACTACTCACGACTTCTCCTCTAGTAGGAGACCATGAAGACTGTGTGCGTCTATCCTTCATGTGAGATAAATACAGAAGCAAAGAGTGTTGTGAAGATTTAATTTTCCATCTTTAAGTCACACTTTCTAATCGAAGAAAGGACAGGACTTTATACCTCTACAGAAACCTGCTTCCTCATCCACATGGCCTTGTAAACTAAGTGGTATAAATCCAAACGCTGCAAAACCTGAGCATGTGTCCCTTGTGCTCTGTGTTAAACTGAAGCCTGTGCTTTTATAAGGGGAAAGAGGTGTTTTTTTAATACAGTTTTAACAATGAGCAGATGGATAAAGGAACCATGAACGGGGATGTGAAACTTATTTGAAGCAGTAAAGTGCAAAAAGAAGATAACTTTGTTAATATTAGTTCATAAAGCTCATTTGGTACCTTAAATAATAATTTTTCAGACTTCGTCATTTAAAGTTTTATATGTGATTTTTCACACTTAAATGTAGAAATCAAGTATCTCCTCTGAAAATAACTCTGAGTCATGACTGTCTACAATGAGTGTAACACTCGAGTCCCACTGTCTGTGATGTTTTCAGAGTTTTCAGAGTCCTATCTTCAGTTTGTTTACATCGCCCAGACGGCCGGCTGACTCCTCCCCTCGTGTATAAAAGTTGTTTAATTGAGGGACTAGAGAAAAGAAGAATAACATACTGTACTCACTGCTTAACTGTGTTTCTAGATCACGCTCATTTCAGGTAAATTTACATGCAGTGTGAAGATACCAGCATAATAAAGATCGCTAGCATTAGCATGCGAACACAACAATGCAGCGCGAGTTGTTTTGGTTTCATACTGGTGCTCAAGGGCGACATCTGCTGGATCAAAAGATCGCATATAAAGCCTTTAACAGAAGCTTACGAGACGTCTGGAAATACTCAGCAGAAGAAGACAGCAGTGAAGAAGCAGCACAGACTAGTACTGTAGTCAAGACCACACTAAACAAGACCAAGACATACCAAAGACCTCAGAGTTCTCAGAGACTGTGACAAGACCAAGAAATTTAGGGATCGAGACCAAGACTAAGGCAGGGCGAGACCAAGACCATAAATATCACTGAAAAATCATCAACTTGTGTGCAGGCAGCATGTCATTCACTTAAGCTTTAACACGGGAAGGTTGTTGCTGACTTGGGGAAAATAGTCTTTCAGTGGTGGTCTTGACCAGTCTTGATTTAAAATCCGGAGTCCAACCAGTCTGAGACCGCACACAAGTCAGGTGAAAATACTTCCGAGACGAGACCGAGACCTTCAAAAGTCTTCAGACCGAGACCGATTTTGAGCACTACAACACTAGAACAGACACGGCTCAGTCGAACCACATCAGAATCTTTTGTCCTCGCTGACAAACGTCCTCTCCTTTCTGCTTCCTCATACCAAAAGCTATGTTTGCTTTTTTTTAAAACAATGGAGGACTTAATTTAAGGTCTAATTTGAGACTGTCTCAAGACAAATGTTGATGATGAACAGACTAGCTGTATAGAGCAAGTTATAACAAATAATAGAGACGCTGACTGCCTGAAATTTGCCTGTTTGAGACACCTTCTTTACGTCACAGTAGAGCTGACACTGCCAACACTCAGAACATTTAAGTAGCTCAATTAGGCCATTTGATTGGACTACTGTCCCAGAATACAAGCACTGGGGGAGAATGGATTTTTTGTTGGAGGTATGTCTAACCCCCATCTGTGCGCGCCGCACTACGCTGACGCTCTCCTTAATGTAAAATATGACAGCAGTCTTCTTTAATCATGAGTAGAAATACCTTTAACCTCGTTTAATGTCGGGACACTAGAGGTGAGCCCATACAGTCGACTGCCAGTCTCACAGTCGAGAATCCCCAGCTACATTGGGGGTGTTTAATGTCTAACTTTACATAGATTTGCCTCTTTCCTCCAAATAATTCATGGCTCATAGCCTCTCTTGGTAGAAATATGAACTTATTTATACTTTCAATGCAGATCTGAAAACAACTAATCTCCTCAGTGTGTGCATGAAGAAATCACCCCGAAGTATTGATACAGTAGAAGCAGCAGATCCATGTTTTGAAAATTTCATTGGCTACAAGAGATGTCAGTCATCGGCACAGTTTGAGTGAAATTGGCTATCAGAACAGGGGGATGCACCTTCTCTAAACTCCCATTGGCTGTAATGAGGTGTCAACAAGAGGTCAGTGGATCGTTATGGATCTAATGTGTTTGGGTTAAATCTTTCACTGGATTTAAATTGTGGAGAATGATGTTTGGTGGATTATTATGTTCACTAGAGTCCAGTAAATCTCTAAATTGTAAGTTGAAAGACATTATTTGTTTGTTTGTTTGTGGTCTGACAGATACGTAGATTGTGGTTGAATCCACACACACTGGGCCGTTAGTGTTTGTGGTTGCTGGATTGGACATGTGTGATATGGTTATAAGGTCACATTAATACAGACTTAATGAGTGAGAAAAAGGATGGCTCAAGTCCCATCATTGAATAAATTGTTATTCCAAGTCTAGAAGACAAAGAGTTTAATGATGTGGTTATACTCGATAAGAATGTGGATCAATGGGCACAAAAAAAACAAAAAAAAACTTTAGACTTTCAGTCGTCTACAGGAGAAATCTGACCAATCAGGTTCGACTTTGAAAATCCTTGGTTGAAGAAAGGTTTACAGGACATTAAAAAAAATTATTTGTTCAGAGTGTGCTGGTAGCCTTGTGGTAAGGGCACGCGCCCCATGTGCAGAGGATTAAGTCCTACAAACCTGAAAAGGCATGAAAATAAAAACTTAAAAACTAGAAATCTGGTTTACCACAACATGTTCTGTCCTTCACATTCAAACATCTCATCGTTTATTGAACAGGTTCTTAAGTCTCGCGGACAGACAGTAAAGCAGCTGTGCCTCAGCTTCAGAGCTCTTCATAGTCTTCATTTCTCTCACAGCCAAGAGGTTGGCAAAGAACTCGAAAACAAGATGTTTACTGATCCTGAAGCATCACCAGGAGAGAGAGAATTCAAACCTCAGGGCATGCACGCTAAATCAATGTATGCTTTTTTTCTTTCTGCAATGACAACATGAGCTGCTTGGGATTTCTTAACACCTGTTAGAGCGACAGCCTGCCAGCTTGATCCTGTAGAATGAGCAAAGCAGTGCTGATGCTAACAAGTACACCTTTGTATTATCCACAACATACCCCCGGGATTATTCAATGCCCCTCTCTTTCATTTACCATATTATTCCATCATTACAATGTTAAGCTTTAAACGGCTTAAAAAATGTTTTTAATAACTCCAAGGGAAGCTAATTCCAACATTGGAAACCATAGGTGTCTTGTAGCCACAGGAGGTTATCTTAGAGGGTTTAGATCAAATCAGTCAAACCAATCAGCACAACTTCCTGTTGAGGCAAATTAAACGTGTGTAAACCAAAACTGGGAGCTTCATGTGAGCACACATAACATCGTTCTGATCTTCCATGTTTTTTCTCTTTTACCACAGCCAACAGAGTGGTGAAAAGACCATCCAGCCTGCATATCTTGCTTTAAGGGGCTTAATGTCTTCACTTGCCAGACCCAGTATGTCAGCTTGTTCTCTGTTTGTCGTACAGTACACTGATTTCAATGTGACGGCATATGAGTCAGGTTTGTTGTCTCTTTCTTTCCCCACAGGGTGATGAACTGAGGAGAGGGAGCTGGGTGCATCTTCTTTACACTCAACAACCTCTCTTTATCAGATAAAAAAAGCAGCTCCTGGTCCGGTTGTTTTGAAACACTGTTTTGAACTCTAATCCAGCCGATCACTGAGAATAGAATTATAACTGTTTAACATTAATAACGGTTCCTTGATAAACCGCTCACCTCCTAGAAGCTCCACCTTCTCTTCAACCCGCTCTTGGAAACAAAACAAAGATGGAAGATGGAAGGCTCAAGGCTTGAAATCAACAACCCATAACCCAATGGATGTCATCAGGGTGACCATGGTGTCCACTTCCTGTGTAATGGTGTCTAAAGTTTTTCTTGAGATTACCTATATGGTGTGGTGTACCTTGAGACAGCGCTACAAACCAACATCCCCGACTATCTACAACACCTTCAACACCAAGAAACAGGCAACAACACAGAAGAACACAGAGCGAGAGGCAATCAAGTCATCGGATAAAATAGTAGCCTGAAGTGTAAAATGACTTCCCCACATGGTCTCTACTTCACTCTGAACATATAAAAACACGCACACACATACAAACACCAGAGCGCAATAACATGGAACGAGAGAGCGAGAGGAGTAAACACACGAGGGCACCCACAGAGCCATTCGAGTGTACAATCATGTCCAGATTTACCCTTTGCACTCTTTGTGATTTTTTCCATCAGCAGCCCATCACTTCTATCGTCCCAGCTCTCTTCTCTCACCCTTGCTCTCTCTCTCTCTCACCCTCTCTCTCTCTCTCTCTGCTGGACAAAAAGGCCAAAGTTTCATGTTGGGATTCAGATTCAGATTCTTTTTTCATGTGATTTACAAAGTGAAAAAAAGAGAATTTCAGCCATAATCTATACTGCTTTTACCCTTCTGGGTCACGGGGCGGGCTGGAGCCAATCCCAGCTGTCATTGGAGGAGAGGCAGGGTACACAGTGAACTGGTCACCAGTCATATAGAAACAGACAACCAGCCACACTCACACTCACGCCTACGGAAAATTAACCTTACGAGCATGTCTTTGGACTGTTGGAAGCAGGATTACCTGGAGAGAACCCACGCATTCACAGGGAAGAACATGCAAACTCCACACAGAGAGGCTCCTGTCAGACGGGATTCAAACCAAGAACCTTTTCGCTGTGAGGCGAACCTAACAATGTTGTTGTCCCAGTTTATTGAGTTTTATGGTAGGATAATTACAGCGTAACAGCAGGAGTTTCACTCTGCTTTCATCTGAATCAGTTCAGGCTCTCAGACCTCAGGGTGCGCCCTTTTTAACATTTAACAAGTGCTAACTAGCGTGACATGTTATTAGAGACAGTAATAGCTTGTTACTGATGTTTTCCCTCTCAGTTTGGTTAATGCATTCATCTTCCTCTCACCTGTAGCCGTGCTGAGTGTCCACACACATGCCTCCATTGAAGCAGGGGTTTCTGGGATATGCACTGCAGGGCTGGTGGGACTGCTCTCTGCCCGGACAGGAGCACACAGCTGTGGATTCCACCGTCACAGACACAAGACTCATGGTCCCACAATCCACCACTGTGGGCGTGTCCCGCACGTTCAGAACACTGGTGCAGCCTCCGGCCCCGGCACACTCCGAACCGGGACACTCGTCCACCCGGATCTGGACTACGCTGACCTGCAGGAACGACTGGAGCTGGAGGGAGAAGGACGCAGAAGAAAAACAGAGATGAAGTTAGAGAGTCTATACTCACACTGATGAAACTCAAGGTGAAGCTTTGGAAGTGCTTTTTCGTTCAAAATATTATAGCAGACTCTTCTGAGTGACCTTTACCTCACAGACAAGGAGTGGTACAACAGTGCTTATCTCCAATTGCACAGGCACTTCTACCCATCAAAAGGAGGTAAAGTGCAGTGACAGAGATCCCCACTCAGCTTCACACTCACAAAGACAGCCGACTGAGTTCAACTGGTGGACAAAACAAACCAAGAGCACCATTTACCGGACTTGAACCTGCAGGCTGCTGCAGTTTTTCAAGTGCTACGTGTTTAAAGGGATACTTCAGCCATTTGCATTAAGCTTTGTATCATTAGTCTAAACGTATATACATAAACTGTACATATACAGTGAAAAAAAACCACTACAGCCATAATCTTCACCCAAAGCTGCCATGAGCAAAAGAGTCAAAGCAGCTGTGATGCATTCAGATTCAAAGGTCGACAAATATTGATGTTTCTCATGTCCTTTTGGTATCTCGTAAAGATGGAAACATTACATTTCTCTCTCCTACAAACAGTCAGAGAACAGAGGAGGTTGTCTAATATGCACAAATACATTGTCGGTGTTTAGGAACTGAAATATTGTCATTGTGTTTGTGCAGTTTAGACAATGTGCCTGGGGGGAGTTTGCCTGGGATGAAAAGCTGCATCACTGTAATCATTTGAGATGCTTCAATTTTAAACCCATGAAGATTTGCTGTTTTTTATATGAAGACAGGAAGCAGCAGTTCAATCCTTTTATTATGCCTTTTGTGGCTTAAATATATAAATCCAGGATAAACCAATGGATTGCTGACATAAGTCTTAATTAACATGTGAATCAAATGAGTGATGATAAGCCTGATTACAAACCACACCATCGGGACATCACCAGAAACTCCAGAGAACATTAAATGACTTCTTCTCAGCTTTAACATGAACGAGTTATTGAGGCACGACGTAACTGTTGAGTAAGGCCCCGTGTCTTAGCATTTCTCCCGGGCAGAAAAGCGCTGGCTGTGCGCTTGGTAGCGCTTGCATGAAGCGTTTGTGCGCTGAGAAGAAAAGCGCTGCACGTCCGTCCTGTCTCCATGACAACATTCTGTTGACAACGGCCAATGTATGACCGAAACTGCTCGGTTACTTTTTACTACATGTTTTTTTTTTTTTTTCTAGATCGTTTAATTCCTGATCAGACATGGAGCAGAAAACGATCAGTAGGCGGCAAAACTACGAGGAATATCACACATTTGGAAAAAGTTGAAAGATTCTCATGTGCTAGGAGCAGCTGCACAAAAAAGGCTGCGGACGCTCTCTACTCACTGAAAACAATTGAATAAAAACAAAGGTGCTAAAAAATAAAACGCCAGGCGGACACAGGGCCTAATGCTGCAGTCACTTGTACATAACTTCTTTACATTATACCTAATGTATATGTGTGTTGTCTATTTTTTCGTATTGTATGCCTTTTAAAATGGACCTTGAGTCTAATAATAAAAGTTGATGATGATGATGATTATATTTACTTTTATCTCTATCTAATGACATTGTGACTAGACTCGGAGTCTCAATGTGCAAAAGCAACTCTCTCCAGGAAATAATCAAACAAATATCTTTAACATATGCAGTCAGCAACACAACCTTCTTAAACGGTCAAAACACAAGTAAGATATTTCTGACTTAACCAGTTCACACAGACAAACACACATACTGTACATTCATGAAAGCACACACACAGACAAACACCGGGAAACTGATGTAGAAAGTGCATCCAACGTGTGAATGCATCACAGGACAGTAGGCAGTCTGTAGAATCAATCCGCTATCGACAAAGTGGGCTAAACTGTTGGAAACCCTGAATCCAGGCTGAACAGTTTGAGAGAGCAGTCGAAAGCAAAATAAAAAGGAAATGTTTCATGCACTCTAGTGTTATGCTAGTGTTGTGCTGTACCTTGTGTGTTTGTGTGCCCGTGCATTCGGATGAGCTGTCCTTTGCTTGCAGGAGTTACAAGTGGATTACCGCTGAGCTGATATACAAATCATTGAACTCATCATGCCCAGGAACATGCATGCATACACACAGAGCGTCAAAACCACAGGTTGTTTGTGAAACCGTGTTGAACCAGAACAGGGTCACATCATGTTCAATGTTCTGTACTGATTAGATCCCCTCCAGTGTGACTGGATGGTGCTCACTAAACATGCAGATCACATCTATTCCACTCTTTTCTGCGTAATGACCCCCACCGCTGTGACTGTATCATTAATAAAGGTTACGCTTTTATAGGTCAGTGCTAGAGCCGACTAATGTCACGTTTAGTAAAACTGTCAGCAAAGCTCACCTCCCAAAAGTGGTTTTCAATCTATACTGACACATCTCTTTGACTTGTAATACGGACACAACGGCTTCTTTCATTGGTGACATTATCTGGAGTGTGTAGCGCTATAGAGGGTTTTGCAATCGCTGAATGTCCCCATGAAAAGTCATACAAAGGTGAATGGCATTGAGCTTGTATACTGTAGCACTTTTCTCGCCTTCTGACTACTCAAAGCGCTTTTACACCACAGGTCACACCGAAACATTCACACACTGATGGTAGAGGCTGCTATGTAAAGTGACCATGAGTATTTTACTAATCCATTCATACACATTCATACACCGCTGTCAAAGCAGTAGGAGCAATTTGGGGTTAAAGGCAGGGTTGGTAATTTCCTCCAGATCCACTTTTTAAGATTTTGGTGTAAATGGTCTTTAGGTCCTGACAGAAATTAATAACTCTGAAAAAGGAACAAAGAAAATCCATCATCTGTATCAGTTTGTAAGTCTGTAAAACTTCAACCAATGTCTGCCACGAGGTACCAATCTGATGAACCAATCAGACGCCTCCCTGTCTCCCTGCTCGTTCGTACCTCTTGCGTGCTCTAGCTCACACGCAAATCATGAGCTGAGGTCCGTTTCTGGACCATTGGCGCTTGTGCATGTAAGTGAGGGGGCGTGGCTTTTGAGGGAGAACAGAGGGGAGGGGGTGCAGACGCAGCACTGAGGGAATGCTACTTTCAAAATCATGCTAGTTTTCGAAAATGACCAACCCTGGCTTTAAGTTTCCTGAACAAGGACACATTGAACATGATACTGCAGGAGCTGGGAATTGAACCCTCAACCTTCCAGTTGAGAGATGGCCAACTCTACCAACTGAGCCACAGCATCATATAATCAGAAGATTTACTTTGAAAACAGTTAGTCATGGTGGAAGTGTCACTGGATATAAATTGTTGTTTACAGTAACCATTGGTTTGTTTTTTTGCAACAGGTTATTATCGGTTGTTAACCCTAACCCTGTTTATGGTCAATTTAAGATTAGATTAAATGACAATCAATAAAAAGTCAACTGCACATTACTTTCTTATATAATGATTGTCAATTAATGGAATATTTAGTTGACAATCAACAGATTGAAACACTTACTTACAATCTCCTGACAGTCAGTTGAATGCATGAAGTTGACTGTTGAAACATGTATGTTGATATCCACTGATTCACTGTTGTTGCTGTTGACATGCAACTACACATCTATTAAAAATGGTAATACGTTGAATGCATGTTATTTGATAAAGTTATGTTGACTATCTACTGACGGCTTGGTGAGTGACAACAGATGGACCATCAACATGAAGTATTTATTCCAAGGGCAAAATCAGTGCTCTCCATTTTTGTGTTGCAGGAAATTACAAACTCCCCAATGCCATCAATACCAACAACAGATGATTTTTATTTGACTGTTAGAACAGACTTGCCCATAGAGAGGTCTATAAACCTTAATGTTCCCCATTTAGAGCACGTAAAGCAGCCATGAGGCCACAGTCAGGTCGAGTGTAATAGAGGAAAGAAAACCAGAAAGAGTTGGTACATTGAGCACATGGAAAAAAAATATGTTTATGTTCGATGAATGTCAGCATTGTCTCTGTAGGTCATGTTCTTTGCTGCCTCCTTCCTAGCAGAGGATAATGGATCCTTCAAATCGTTGACATTAAAAGCCAATGAGACTCAATCATGCAGAGTAGAAATGTCTGAAAATCAGAGGAGGGAATGGACGGGGAGAGGAAAGTGGGGATGGGGGGCAGCAGATACTGTACAGGGAGTAAACGGGACAGGATGAAGACGTCTGCTGATCAAGAGAAGTGAAGTCAATGTCATGGCGGCTGTCAGGCGTTTTCCCCCCTTAAATAATTTCTGCACTTTATATTGTTAAGTTTGTCCACAGCCATGTAGAGGGAAGTTACTGCATTGATTTCATACATTGTTGATGACACCCAGCAGAGCGTTTTAACTCTAATGATGTTTTCCTACAAGACATTTTATATTCTTAACAGAAGGAAAAACAATCTGTTTTCATGATTTTATAGCTTATATCATCCTCATGGATTATTTGACTTCTTTTCAGCGGCTGCTCGTCCTGCTTTACTTTACATTGAAAATGTAATTCTAAAAAAAAAATATGTACATCCTAATGCTCTCCAGTCCATCTTAATGTGTTACTTTAAAGTCTTGATCCTGATGGGAGTCTCTTGACCCCCGAAGCCCAAAGACTATAAAAGACATAAGTGCATCCACAAGCGTGTCTTTTAGATAAAGTGTAGAAATGTAAGGAGAGGCATACATTGAATCTTTCAAAGGCAGAGCAGTGTGTATAGCAAAGGAGTAGAGGGACGCTCTGTGCCCTGGACTGTTGTCCCATTGCTGTAAGAAGCTTCTCCAATCGTCTTCACGGCCCTCTGAGCCACATTAATGTAATGACGAGAAGAACCTCGGTACAGTATATGAGCATCATACTAAAGATATTAGGAGAGTCGAAAACCAAAGGAAGTATCATTAAAAATCAAGTGGAGCATGCTGGAGTGAAAACACACTGAGGGATAACTTCCATTATTGAGGCAGAGGAAGGGAGAAACTGAGAGTTTTTTTTAATTCATCTACTTCCGAGGCATAACTGGAGAATTGAGAACATTAATAAAAAGTGCAGCTTCATCTTCAGACCCCTCCCCCCCCCGGCTTTTTCTTCCTCCTTCTTTTCCAGTCCACCAGCCCCCCGTCCACCCCACCTCGCCCCGCCTCTCTCTCCCCGGCTCCATCTCTCCATCGCCATACTTCACATCTCATTCTGATCAATGTCTCCGCCGGAGTACCTGGATGATTCAGATGCAACGCTGGCTGCCCTCCTCACAAATCACACTCTGAAAAAAAAAAAAAGCTGCGACTTCTCTCCAATACGTCTTTCTCTCCGTCGCTGCTCTGTGTGGCCAAGCTAACTTATTTGTGTATTTGTAAAAAAATATATTAGAAATGTTTAGACAAAAGAATCCACCTTTCATGACAGCCATATTAAATACCATTTTATCTCTGTCAATTAAAGATTTTTTGACTTTTCTAACCAAAAGTCAGTTTTAAACGTTATGTTTAGCATACATACACTTTGCCTTTCCTTCCTTGACAAGAGGACACGTTGACAGAGGATCACCAGGAAAAAGGCTGAACCATGCAGTGCTGTGATCGACCTGAACTGACCACCGTGGTCATGATTGGACGTGTGCTATTTCTCCCCCCTTACAGACACACACTACTAACACATGCAAATACAGAGCAGCTCATCACTCCCTCTGAGGACACTGGGTCAGCTCTCTCCCTGCTGCCGATATGTGTACAAAATCCACTTTCTATGGTCCACGCTCTCGCACACACAGACTCACACAAACACTCGCCTCTTTTTACTTCTATTCAGACTTTTGAAACGTGAAATGAGGTCTGACTGAGCCCAGCGGTCAGGGAGCGATGAGGTGAAATGTTTTTCTAGCTCTCTTTTCTTTTTTAAAATGATGACATGCCTCTGTAGGTTTTTGACTTTTGCTTAACTTGTACATTTTTGTTATTTCTGAAGAATTGATCAATAACACTAGAAAGATTAATGTCATCCCACAGTCCCCTGTCATTCGGCAGGGCATGTGTATTTTTTTTTTTAATCTTCTTGTGACTGCAACAGACACAGTATTACACGCATAATCCACACTGTGCATTTCTGTTAAGAGTCAAATTGGGTTGGATTTAAAAGGATTTTCCACATTCATGGACTATGAATGTACTGCAAATAACAGTTTTTTTATTTTTTTATTCCTGGGCTTGCCCAGGACAATGGTCTAAATCGGGCTCAGTTCACCGTGCCCTACAAACCAGAAACTGCCTGTGTGCTTTATTCTAGGAGGAGGATGATTTGTGGAGACTGGTCTATATCAGTGACACTGTGAAAAAAAAATGTTCACAACAGGTGGTCCATTTACTAAATTATACTGACTCTGTCTTTGGCAATCTGTGGTGGACAAATGGGAACAGGATTTGGCACATGAATGAACCATCAAATAAAAGGACATATCAATCAGAGTGGAGTGAGGACAAGGTGGCAGCCTCTTAATTTAATACAGAGGATTACAACGGCATCAACGGGAACTTTGTCCATGTTTATTTTTCAAGTATTTATTATTTTCTAAAAAACAGAGGATTTATTTTTTATATACTTTATTAAAGGGGACATATTATGAAAAATCCACTCTTACAGTGTTTTTAAACATATATTTGGGTAACCTGAGTGTCTACTGACCCACAAAATGTGAAATAAATCCATCCAGTCCTTTGTTTGTGGTCTGCATAAGTCTTACAACACAGAGAAAAATGCTTTGTTTCTAATCTGCTCTCCTTGTGATGTCACAGTGGGATTCTGGTAAAAAAAAAAAAAAAAATCCCCTGTCCTCCCCTGGTATCTCCACCCACGGACTCCAACCCCAGCCTAGAGCAAAACTTTTGAGTAGGTCTGCCATTTTTGTTCTCATTAGCGAAAGAGTTATGTCTACTGGGAAAACTCAGGGGGGGGGGTCATTGCATTTAAAGAGACACACACACCAAAACGGAGTGTTCTGAGAGAGCTGGTTTATACAGGGTCACAAACCTCCTCTGGTGCTTGATTCATGTTATATTTTGACCAAAGCACAGAACAGATGTTTCATTTAGACCACAGGGGGTCTGTTTGAGAAGGTGGAGAAGGGGGATAATATGTCTTCTTTAATCCCTGATGGAAATTCTGGATTCACAGTCTCTGCAGACTGAGCAACTGCCGCCCCCTTACACAAACTTAGAAAACAATACTTAATTTCAAATCAGATGTTCTGGGGCGGAAAAAGCCCAGACAATGAAAACAAGTGCCTTGATATTTCTGGGTGCACTGACAGTGTGATCACACCCCGGGATGTTTTCACACCTGTTGTGCATGAAGAGACTGAATAAAAACTCTTCACTGCTTACAGCGGAGCGACTTCATTTTTTGACAGGTGAGAATGGCTGCACTGAAATCGGGTGGAAAATAAGCAGCTTTTCCCTTGTTAAAAGAGCTGTTCTCACATACTTCCACACCCAGAGGGAGCTCATTCAGACTGCTGGCACTTCAAAAATAAAGAAAAAAAAACTGTGTAGTGGGCATTTTGCACCTGCTTTTGATCTGCTCGCGGTCCCACTAAAGCTCTCTCCTGCATCCTTCCAATGCATACTTCAACGTTGACAGCGCAGTGTGTCGACAGCACGGGAGAGTTTGAGAATTATTCTCTGCTCAAAAAAAACGAGGAGAAGACGAATGAGCAAAAGAGGATTTTTGTTGCTACATCATATTTTGAATGTTGCATGAGTAGCCTTTTAAGAGACAAAAAGAGTGAAAGTGTCAGATAATGAAATTAGTGAGAATCTCCCAGCTAAACATGAGTGGATATGACTTTAATGGTGTCTCTGTGAAAGCTTTAGAACTTACAGGATTTGGCTCGGAGAAGCATTTCTGCCCGTCAGTGTGTGAAACTCGTGTTAGCTCGAGCTGTCAGCAGAGTCATTTAGGGGGCATCCGTCAGAAATCATTAAGCTATAGTGTTACAGTGTAGGAGGAACTCACTGGCACTTTGTCACTGAGCACCACAGATAGTAACCAATTAAACTGCTTGTTTAAGAAATGACTGCTATCTAAGGATTTCACATCAACTGGTTGATTTGGCCTGCTTTTCTCGGGGCTGACTGGTTTCAAAAGCAAAACCAATTTGGTCGGTGTTTATGTTGCCAAACAACAACGGCTGTCTCTCCTGTTTAAACCAATTTTTTGCAGAAAGATTACATTTGCAGATATATCCAGGTAGCTTCTGTTAAAGGCTTTATATGAGATTTTTTGATCCAGCAGATGTCGCCCTTGAGCACCAGCATGAAACCAAAACAACTTGCGGTGCATTGTTGTGTTAGCATGCTAATGCTAGCGATCTTTATTCTGCTGGTATCTTCACACTGCATGTAAATTTACCTGAAATGAGCGTGATCTAGAAACACAGTTAAGCAGTGAGTACAGTATGTTATTCTTCTTTTCTCTAGTCCCTCAATTAAACAACTTTTATCCGCGAGGGGAGGAGTCAGCCGGCCGTCCTGGCGATGTAAACAAACTGAAGATAGGACTCTGAAAACTCTGAGAACATCACAGACAGTGGGACTCGGGTGTTACACCCATTGTAGACAGTCATGACTCACAGAGTTATTTTCAGAGGATAGACTTGATTTCTACATTTAAGTTTGAAAAATCACAAATAAAGACTTTAAAAAAAATAACATAATAATAATAAAATAAGTAGAGTTGTGCTGAAACAGTTTAATATGCTTAAAGGAGAGTGACTGTTTTGAAAAATGAACTTTGTCAATGGGCCTTTCACCAACAGAGCAGCCAATAGAACAACAGGTGGACTGACGTTAACACACCGTGTTTTGTATTTGGGTTAAAAAGCTGAATGACTGGAAAAACGAACGTCTCACCTTCTGTTTGTGTGCGGCCAGATAACCGTGCATTTTCTCTGGCCGCAGGAAGGAGGGGCCACCGTACACGGCGAAACGAACATCCAGCGTTCGCTCCTTGGCGTCCAACAGGCTAAAGATGTTGACATCATCCGGGGGAACGGAGAGCATCTCGGAGAGGAAGTCCACCAACAGCTCGTAGCGACTCCGCTGCTTTCCTCTCAGTTCAATGAACTCCTTGGCTGTGATGTCTGAGAAACACACACACACACACACACACACACACACACACACACACACACACACAAACATGCTATTAAAATCGTTGACTGCGTAGAAGTGGCCTTATTATATCCACCCCTGCTCGAGGATAAATCCAATTATTTTCAAACTGGGTGCAAGTGCTAAGTTTAAAAAACTGCCTGAAACACTCCAGACTGCGGCTGGAAGGATACATTATTGAAAATGTCTGACTTTATCTGACAAAAATCTGTTGTTCTGGATTTGAGTTGGTGTGTCCTTGTAAGTCTTTTCCTGTGTGCATGTGAGTGTGCATGTACGTGCAGGTGAAGGTAGTGTTTGAGAGTCAGTTTTTGATATCTAGGTCTGCCAAGGTAAATACACACTTAAAAATAAGTGTTCCTAATCATTCCTCACAGCAGGCCTTTAAAGAAGAAAGGAATCCAGAGCGCTCCAGCACCTGTAGTTAGGTCGGTCCTACACAAATGTGTAAGAGAATTCGAGAGAGAATGCATTTTGACGATACATACATGATGCCTTGTGTCGGAAATGAGGCAAAAAAAAATCAAAAAGAAGCCTCTAACAACTTCCATCTGATTTTACCCCCTGACCTAGTGTTGTATTCAAGACCACACAAACCGAGAGCGAGACATTTAGGGACAGAGTCAAGACCAAGACTATAAACATCACAGAAAAATCATCTTCTCGTGTGCAGCGTGTCGCTCACTCAGACCGTAACACTGGGGAGGTTGCAGCCGGAATGAGGGATAAATATGAAATTATGAATGGAAGTTATTCACTCTGTTAGAACGATGGATGGCGGCAGTGGCGTGGTGGAGAGGCTGTGGTCCTCCAAGTGGGCCAGCCGGGTTCAAATCCGACCTGTGGCTCCTTTCCACATGTCGTTACCCACTCTCTCTCTCCCTGATTTCCAACTCTATCCACTGTCCTATCTCTCTGATTAAAGCCCATAAAGCCCAAAAACAAATCTTAAAAAAAGATGGTTTCCTCAGTAGGAGAACTGGGGGTTTAAAAACTCCACTGCAGCTTAAACTCAGAGAAAAGAAAGTGAGTGGGAGGAGTGAGAAATGGAGGGAGCCTTTTATCCTTTATTCAGCCTTTTGTAATGATCCGCTTAACGTTGTGTCAACAGACACAGACCCAGCTCTGCTCTGCACTACTCTTCTCTAACATGTTGATTTTAAAGTGTAGCTAGCGAAAAACCAAAATCCAGAGTGAATTTTTCTAAATTTTATCCACAAGGAGACAACGAGATAATTGAAGTGAAAACATGCTCTGTTTAATTATCTGTGTCGAGCTTTCATTCCCTGACCTCGGCCGGATTAGTCCGCACCAGTTGATGAAGGGCAGAAAGCTTTAGGCTTGTTTCAGGGTGCTAATTGTTGCACACGTAGTGGCACTACAAAATGGAAATAATTGGGAAAAAATTATCCCCTCTTTGAGTGATTTCAGTTGGGGGCAGGAGGGGGGTCCGGGTCATTATTATTTGCTCTGGAAACATCTCCTGGTGTGGGCTTCAGCAGTCTCATTTTACCTCATCAAAGTGAGTATCTTTGGGAGTGATAGTCTTGTGTCTGTAATATATTTCCTCCTTTTTTGTCGGGGTTGGCTTAGTGGTTAGGCTGCTAGGCGGTCTGACTCCGACCCTTGGCCACATACCCACATGTCATTCCCCATTCACTCCTCTCCCGAGTCCCTACTCTATCCACCATCCTGTCCTCTCAAACAAAGGCAGAAAGAACATAAATCTTCTGAAAAGAAAATTCTCCTTTGTTTCTCTGTAGCTGAGCTGCAGTGAAGGGACGGTCACATAAATGTGTAGTCTTGTGCCAAGTGAAAATGTAGCATTGGAAAATACACAAGGACAATGACTGTGGATTTTTTCTCCCCATCTGTGACATTAAAAACATATCAGGGAAGAGATCCCTCTCTGTACACACGGGCATGGGAGGGCTGGGGAAAAAAAAGTGAGCTTTTACCTTGAGGGCTGATTCCAAGGACTACCAGAAACTGAAAACTACGTCACAAAAATGTCTTCACGCCCGTCATCCCGAGACTCAAAGTGCTCCTCACAGAGATGGAGGTACAATAACTCACACACATAAAGGGTTGGGCAGGGTGATTAGGTTTGTGGGTGCGTGGAGGGAGACAGAGCTCAGGCATTAAGAGACAAGACAGGGGGGCTCAGAATGAGCTCAGAATGGGCTCAGCGGATACGAGGAGAGGGATCGAGGCTAATGTCAGCTCCTATCAGTCAGTCCGGCGGGAGAAACAAGGACACAGGCAGACAGAAAAGAAAGTCAGGAGGGACGGGGGGGCTGGCGGGGGGGGGTTTCTCCTAACGCAGAGTGGCAGCCTTTGCACCTGGCTTTGATCCAGCCTCACAACTCACTGCTGCTTTCTCCTTCCCAGGGGCTTCATTGGGAGTCGGGCGTTGAGGCGGTAGAGCGCAGATGCTCTCCTGCCTGCAGGCTTGTGATTTCACACAAAGGGGGAACAAATCGGGATACATATCCTTCTCATGTTGTAGTAAAGTGACGCGGGAAACACTGGGATCAAACACTGAGACAGACTTCTATCATCAGCTGAATTGAAGTTCTGCTCCTTCCTATAGGAACCAAAGACCACTGAAAGACATAGGAGCTCTGTTTGAGATGCTCTGTGGACCAAAACATCTCATTAAGAATGCCATATATATATATTTAGCTCAAGAGAGACAGGAAATGTAGGGAGCGGAGAAGGTGGTGATGACATGAACCAAATAGCTGCATGCTGGAGTCTAATAAAATCGGGGAACTTTGTCTCCGTATTGCTGAACCTTGCTTTTAATCATTCAACATTTTTCCTCCATTGTCCAAGTGACAAGCATTAGAGCAGGGGTCTCTAACAGGTAGCTCGGGAGCTACTGGTAGCTCACGGGCAGGTTTTCAGAGGCTCGCCTATAGGTTGACCGACTGTGTCAAAAATAAAAATAAAAATCTGACGACAGTAAATCCTCTTCCCACTATTCACTCGGCCACTTTCATTTTTGGTTGGAGACCCCTGCATTAGAGTAACAATATGACGGTCTGTTTTTATTGATCATGAAGAGGTGTCAGTATCTTGATTAAGCTTAATTCAATAGGATTGGACGATTGCATTTGAAGAAAACCTCTAACCTTTCGAGAGATAGAGTTAACGTTTGTAAGGCAAGTAGATGACTGCCGAATCAATTTCAAGGTGCAGGTCGTCACTTCAAATCGATTGCAGAATCCTGTTTTCAGATGTCACTCGTCTGCCGCCGTCTCTGACTCTCAGATACTTGTTGGTAAAACGTGAGAGAGGCTGGGGATGTGTGGAGACAGGAGGAGGGGAGGGGGGTAAATCTACTCCCAAAGTCACCAACTAAGCCTTTAAGAAATCCAGGGAAATGATGTCTCCTGACTTTAAATGTTTCCCTTTTTAATTGAACATACTTTATTAATCCCAGAGGGGAAATTCTGGTTTTACACTTTGTTATTTTAGAGACATGCTTCTCACACACATCAGGCCCGATTTACACACATCTACAAACAGGACCTGTTAACATGCTTTAATGGAGAGATGTCAGAGTGAGGCTGCTACACAAGGAGCACACCAGAGCCGTTAGGGGTCTGGTGCTTTGCTCAAGGTCACCTCGCTACTCGGGGAAGTGACCTGGCACCTCTCCAGCAACCAAACAAACTTCCATATTTCTAAATATTTTGAACAGGCGACCTTCCGGTTCCCAACCCTGGTCACTACAGACTGAGCTACTCCCGCCCCTTTAGGTCACTAATGTGAAGAACTACATCCTACATTTCCCATAATGCACCGTGACATAATCCTTTGTTTAAAACCTCTTTTGAAACTTGACATCTCCAGCTTCTAACAGCAGCTAATGGATTTAAATAAAACGTTAGTCTGATGATGTAAACAGGAGGATCCCCTTAGTTTTCATCATGCGGTGAACTGGTCGTGCGGTAGAAAAATGATCAAGTGCATTTGAGATTGATCACCATAAATAATTAGAGGTAGCTCCTTTAACTCAGTGCTTTGTTGGCAGCGTGTGCAGGATCTGAACACAACCCTTTCCATCGGGTTCACTGAACACAAACAAAAACAACACGATGAGATCCTTCCCAGATTTTCTGCTCCAGTCATTCTTGTATTTAAAAAAAGAACGTCTAATTTTCAAGTCATAAAGTCATACCCACAGGGAGAGGAGTATGACTGACGCCTCGTAAATTACACTCATATTATACCTGCAAGAGACAGAGATATTAACCCGATGTCTGAGTATTGATCGCAAGCACACATCTCAGAGGGCGGGTGGATGGAAACAGAGGGCTACAGAGAGAAAACCTCCCCGCTTTATAGACCTTCTTCCTTTTATCATGTAACACAAACTACAGCAGCGTGCTGAGCAGAGTCCATTTATGCACTCGCTGCGTGCTTCTCCTGCGAGCTCTCTGCATTCACCCTCAGATAATGACATGGGCACATTTCAAGGACTTTTTGTTTATCACATTTCTTTGTACCTTTCCATTAATATCAGGGAAAAGAGAAGGAAAGTGAGCGAGCCTTAATCTCACCAAGGCAGATTTAACCAGCGCTGTCTTTGTGCGTCCTTATTGCATTCCACATTTGTTCTTGAAATGGGATTTAAAATGTCAAGGAGGGTGTAAGTAATGCTATAAGTAGAATATTTTCATAATCCCCGAGACTGAGAATCAATGAGACTGTTTACTCCAAAGCTCCACATGGAAAAATAAAATCCTAGAAATGTTCTTCTGTTACACATCCTCCGCACACAAACAAACCAGCCTTAATGCTGCTCGCTCCTACACCTCAGGATGATCTTAAAGTCATTAATCCCAGATATTACACTATTTTCTAAATACTTCATTCTCATTTTTGGGGAAATTGTTCATTGCTCAACACCAGGTTAAAAGCCTGTGAGAGGCCTCACCCTGGTTCTCTTTTGATTCTCTGTAAACAATCATGGCCAATTAAATAATTACTCTCCGCAGATCTTTGATGACAGTGTAGCCACATATCCTCCTCCTCCTCTTCAACCAGTTTAAATAATTCTCAGAGCTCCTCAAAACATGTCTGTGAAGTTTCTTGTTCTAAATCCATTCTGATATAAACCCCTCTATTTCAGCCCTGCTCAGAACAGGCTGTTTCTGTGTCTGTACCTTTAAATATGTAAATGAGCTGTGTCTAACCACGCCCCCCTCTCTGCAAGGGCTCGGGTGTACTCGGGCTTTTCTCGCTCCATGTCCTATTGTTTACGGTGAGAAGGCAGACTCAGAGGACAGAACAAACACCTAGCTGTGGGAGTGTCACCCACCTGGGGGAGGGGCTACTGCCCTTTGTGATGTCATGAAGGGAAAATCTCCAAACGGCCTGTTTGAGCACACATTTTCTGAAAAGTGGAGCAGGCAGAAGACGGAGAGGATGGACTTTTCTCATCATTGGGGGGTTTGTAGACGGACTAGGGACACATGAGTGTTAGGAAAACATGGTAAAAACAATATGTGACCTTTCAAAACCCCAAATTGAGTCACAAACCACAAGAAACAGTTGTTGACAAACCTGACCTCATCATCCTAAATTAAATAAAAGAAAAAACAGGTTCTGTCATAAAAAATGACAAATAAAGACAATGGAGAGCAGCTTCTTTCATTTTGAGATGACATTATTCATCTTAAGCACACGTTTCCTCGTCTACATTTTGCAGTTGGATTCATCCCCCTCTAAACCAATATTGAAATGTGGGCGCCAGCTGTTCCCCTGCATACTGTCTCTGGGTTTGGTGCACATTAATTTACCTCAGCTCTGTTTTCAGGATGAGAAGCAAATCCTTTTATCGTCTTATATGAGGCTTGACTCCCTCTTCAATCCTTTTCCTTTCCTTCTTCCCCTCTTTAGAGTGCACCCTTTTCCCCCTCCCCTCCCCTCCCTCTGCGTCTATTTCAATATCTCTGAAATCATAAAAATCCCTCAGCCATGTCCCATTTCTCTAAAGCGAATTTAATTCTGAGCGGACGGCCGATGCGCTGTACATCAGGTAATGATGGATGCTGCTCAACATGTGAGCAGAATGTGCTGGCTGAGCAAAACCTCTCCACTAATTATTTTTCTGGCATAAGTAATGGAAACAGGCTTTTTTGTGTGTGTGCAATAACATCGTCGGAGAGCCCCATAAGTCAGGGGAGAGGGATTAATAATGGCTGTAATTTTGCTAAGGAAACATCTTTAACTGAGAGTGTGACAGTCCTTTGAAACTCTGCAAACACCGACAGCAAAAAGTAATCAGTGCTCATTAATTTTATATGTCCAGAAGGAAGTCTGCAAATAACGACCACCCTCTTCAACAACTCCCTCGTCAGCAGTGCTGAGTTGAGCAAAGTTCTGTTATTTGGAGGCAACACTGGATTTTTATCAGCTCATAACAAAATGTTAATGCCTTTGAGTCCTACCTGTTGATGTGAGAGCCTGAATGTCACAGACCATCAATCAGAGGGGACGACAGAGGAGAGGCTGGGACTGATATTTTTTGCAGGTGGAAAGGCCTACTGTACTTATATATGCTCTTTAGTCCTTTGCACAGAGACTATATTTTAAGTTTTCTTTGTTTTTTTATTTGCAGCATTTTTCATTGTTTTATGTTTCTCTTTTGGAATTGGCATCATTTCTAAAGATGAATATCTTAAATGGAAATGTTGGAGACGTATGTTTTGCTATGATCTGTGATTAAACTGAACTGATCAACATGCACAGGTATTAATACAGGATTATGGGATTATGGGATTGTGATGTCACTATACGTAGAGCGGTGGCCATTAGACGTCCATGGTACGTGTTGCACACACTGATGAACACAAGTTTGTCCAAGCGGCTTTTACCTCGAGCTAAGGACATTGTTTCATGTCTTACACTGCACGCTTCTAAACTGCGGAAACTGTATTTTATGCAACTTAATCCCATAAAGGGTCAAATATTCACATGTATAGACACTGCAAAAACTGACAGTTAACAATAGCAGTTAATAATATCGCACTACATGTGAGAAGTCCAGATATACATCTCATTTCAAGATATTACAGGCAACAAATAATGACTGAATTGCTTGCCTTAAAGATCCAATCAGTGAGATGTGTAGTTTGAAATGATAAAGTGACCTTACTATCTGATCATTAAGGAAACATGTTATGTTGAAGTGCTGACTTCTCTAACAACAATGCAGCAGCCAGTATGTCCTCCTTCTAACTTTAGATTCTGCTCCTGAATGCTCTGGATTTGTTTGGACCAGAGAAGGTAGGTGGTTTTAAGGAACCCCCACACGGCCGTTTTGGACACCCCTCTGTTTGTCAGATATGAGAGCAGTTATCAGGTCAACAGGTGTTGCAGCGATGGAAGCGGGTCAAGAGAAGTGGTTCAGATAGAAGTGATTGTACCCGACCTAAAAAGCCTCTGCATGTTTCTAATAAGCTCCACGAGCAGAAACGTGCTCAAACTAGGATCAATATTGGAGATTCTTACTTTTTATATTTTCACATCTTGAAATAAGTTGTTTATCTGGACTTGTCTGGTGAATGTGCCTCATATTAGGTTTAATTAGATTTTTTTAATTGGAATTTGAAAGATACATTTGGCAAGACACAAGTTTTTTTGCAGTAAAGAAATGCCACTCAGCAGCCGTGGTGAACTCTACACCTGTGAAAGAGTACAGACCGGAGACAAAATGAACATTAAAAACAGAAAACACCACCTGTCTGTGAACACTGGACCAAAACCAAACGCAGCAGGGGAGAGGGGTCAAAGGTTATCCACCAGGTGTCAGTGGACAGACAGAGACAGACCAAGAAGGCCACTCAGTGACAGCAAAGACTATTCCTGACCAGACCCAGGGGGCAGGTGACCGTGTGGGAGTGTGTGTGTGTGTGTGTGTGTGTGTGTGTGTGTGTGTGTGTCTCTAGTGTCAGTCTCACCTGCCAGGCGGACGGAGCCGGAGTTGTAGATGGCCTCGTCTCGCAGCTCCCTCACATGCACGGTCACAGCAGAGACGGCGTCTGGCCACACTTCATCGGACACGCGCACCTGGAACTGATAGGTGCCGGGTGGAGCGTTCTCCTTGATGATCAGGAAGCCAGTTCGCTTGTTCAGGATGAAGTAGCTGAGGGAAAAGACACACACAGAGACATGACCAGACGAACACAGACACATTTAGTACATTAAGGATTTTAACACCCATGTTCAAATTCAGACAAACTGAGCACAAAGGGATGAATGTGTCTGACCTGTCAGCCACATGAACCAACATTTTGCCCTTTTTTGTGTCCAGAAAGAACGACAGATCATTAACCATGAATTCCATCTCTATGTATAAATATTATTTGCTCGTAACAGGCAACATTTAAATGTTAAATTCAATTTGCCTTCTGCTGTCCTTACTCCTGCAGATCCCCAGCAGGACAGATTACAATGCAACAGTGGTACAACACTGAATAGTATATTTGTGACTTCTAATTTCCCTACAGGCAAACAGTGTGTCGCAGCACGGCCCAACATGAGCGATTATCTGATGGCGCGGTGCCGGAGGGGGTCAAGCTGCTGAATCTATAGGACCGACCGCTGGTGGTGTACTGATTAGTCATTAGGCTATCGCAGCGAGACTGCAGAGGCAAGTCATTTCTGTTATTTGCTCGTCAAAGGTCAACGTGGTAACAAGGGGATGTGGATAGGAAATGTTCGTTATGACTGCATGGTTATTGTCTAGAGGGTCGGAGTCATTCAGACAAGATATCAAACAGATTTATTTCACATCAGCTAGCTCTGACTGAGCGGTTGGTTGTTGGCGACGGAGCAGTACAGGGCATTCTGTGTTGCTGCACCACATGGGGGGTCATGTAAAAATCATAGGTGGGTGCATGGATACCTTTTAACTGGGGTCATATTGTTGGTCTTATCGATAGATATGCTGAGTCAGCATTGTGCAACTTTATAGTCTTTACATCTAGCATGATAGGCACAACTAATGGAGCCCTAAATAAAAGCTATATCAGGGTTAGGGTTGCCAATTTGCAGTTTAAGTTAAATGTTGATTCCAAGTCAAGCTGTACACTCCTAATGAAGTCAGACTGAGTCATTGAAATGTACAAGATGTTATAGACCTGAGTTTCCTCTTATTAGTCTGACCAAAAGTTGCGATCCAAATATTGATCCAATTGGTCAGAAATGTGTTGAGTAAACATTACAGGATGGTTTGCAAGGAAAACTCGCTCTGCAATATCACGAGAACGCTACAGACTTTTCCTCCTTTCTCTTTCTTGAGCCCTCTTACTACTGCAATGTCCTCATTAGGAACTCCATACAGTGAATCTATAAAAATAAACTATCATGGTCTGTGTTCCTAACTATCTACTAATGAGACGCTCTGTTACAAATATGAGTGAGTGCTGATCTCACTTGCTGTACAACAGTCATTGTACAGCAACAGTAATCCTCCTGTGTCCTTTTTAAGGTTTTATACAGGAAATAACAGCATGAATGTAATTAAATAGAACAATGTGAACACTGAGAAATAAACATTTCATTATGTTCATTTAGTTTTATTTAGAAAATAACTGAAAGATATGTCAAAAGACAAACAGCTTGCTCGTCCAATAGGTGGTTTTATTAGAGAGTTTGTCCAACTGGTTACAGTCGATATGTAAAAAGATTTTTTTGTCTTTGTTTAATGAAAGGTGCCTTGAAGGCGTTTTAAGATGCAACAACCAGAGAAAAGTCAATGAAATCCTGGTGGGCTGTTTTGTTAACTGTGAGCTGTGTGTACTCGGTGCTTTCTCGCTCCGTGTCCTATTGTTTACGGTGAGAAGGCAGACTCAGAGGGCAGACCACATAGCTGTGGGAGTGTCACCCACCTGGGGGAGGGGCTACTGCCCTTTGTGATGTCATGAAGGGAAAATCTCCAAACGGCCTGTTTGAGCACACATTTACTGAAAAGTGGAGCAGGCAGAAGACGGAGAGGATGGACTTTTCTCAACATTGGGGGTTTGTAGACGGACTAGAGACACGTGTTAGAGTTAGAGGAACATGGTGAAGTGGATTTTACATATGTGACCTTTAAGCTTAACCCCTTTTCTCAAAGTTTTGTTTTCATCATGTAGCCTTCACACTTATCCAGTGTGTACTCCTTTGTTGGATTCTGGATACAGGGGGTGATCTGCTAATATTTTGATCTGCCGTATGAAGCAGAATAACAGAAGAATTGTACTAAGTCTGACACATCTTAGGTTCCAAGCCTTTCTTGCTTCACATAATGGAGGCCCTCGTTAAATTAGTCTCTTAGCTTAAATTATTTATATGACTGATAAGAATTATGTTAATATGGGAGATTCAGAGTCCTGAAACTGACGCGAGAAAAACTCAGTTCACTGGTGGTTCAACATTTCTGTTCCAGAGAGGAGCTCTTCTCTCACAAATGATCCTTCAGTGAGTACAGACACAACATGACGGAGAGCAGTTCTGCTTTGACAATTGGCCTGTTATCAAGTTACTTATTAAATTAACATTCATTTGAGAAACATAAGACGCCAGCAGCATTCATCAGCCAAGTGGCAAAATCAACTGTAGTAGAGATTATGGGCTTTTAGATGAATGTTTTGCACACCTCTCTTTGCTAATGATAAATGACAGAGTGGTTTGCACATTTGTGACGGATGAGGATTTGTGAAGGGTTTATAGGCATGATCAAATACAGGATCAGAGTGGATTTAGAACAAGAAACTTCACACACATGTTTTGGGGCAATCTGAGACTTATTCACATTGGTTCATGAGGAGGAGAATTTGGGACTTTTAAGCTTTACAAAATGTTTAGATATCAATATTCTTGTTGGACAGCACGGTTTATTAATGCTGCATGTCATCATAATCAAAAGCCTGATAAATGTGAGGTCACAACACAGTCTCAAATCAGCAGCATAACAATTAAATCAACTCCGCAACTGTGGGAATGTGTGAAGCATTTGGGCATATCAAACAGTTTTATTCAGAGTAGAAATTAATATTGGCCATACACATTTATAAGAGAAATGTTCAGTAGAGAAGCAGATATGTCTCCTCTGTACTCAGAGTGAACACTGAGTTGGAGTAAAACTGTGTTTGTGTTGTAAACCACTCTGCCTCAGAAGAACATAATAGGAAGTGAGCAGGGACTCTGCATTAGGGAGAGGGAGGAGAGGAGGAATATTAGACTGACTAATAGGCACCGAGACATGCAGGGGAGGTGATTTTACCTGGTCCTTCTCTCCATGCTCCCCTTGTACAGTAATGAGTTCATTCAAGTTTAATTACAGAGCAAATCTATGGCAGCACCTTAGCAAATCAAATAAGAAAGCACCTGTCGAGACAAGGGCCATATGAACTGATTTTACATCCTAGGCTGTTGTGTGGAATAGATTGGAGGTCTAGCACTTGATTGTAGGTGTTTTGATGTGACAACATATGGCATTATTGATGACTGTGCAGTGTGACGTCTGTACGTGTGTGTGTGTGGAGGCGAAAAAAGATTCCTCCCCCAGTTTAAAGCTCAGAACCATCAAATATAAACGCAAGAAGTAGACACGGACCGAAGAACAAAGAATTAGGAATCAACCAAGAGGATGCTGTGGCAGGGACAAATGATGCAAAACAGTTGGAGAAAACAAAATTGACAGACTGGATAAAAGCGAAGGCGGGGAGGTTATTAATGAAGCCTTTTTTGTAACATGTGTTGAAATTATCCGACAGAAACAGACAAATCTTTGACTGTCACAGGATTGTAATGAATCTGTCCATTCCTGAATATCTTACCTACCCGTATACAAATGTACCTGCTCACTATCTCTCTATGCACTCAATGCCTATAAACAACTTTCATGAGTTGAAACCAGCAGATGGGTTTCATAACAAGCGCAGAAAATTTAGCAACAATAAAGATGTGTTGCCCTTCCCCTTCCAGAAACTCTCTCTGGCCTCATCCTGCACCATTAGGGATAGTGTGCATGTTCACGTCTGCTGCTCTGGTCAGATACTGTCCAATCTCAAGATTCAGGATTGTTCTCTAAAGTTGTCAAAGCCAGCTATAGGGAGGAGGTTGTAACATCAAGGATGCTGCTTGGTAACTGAACAAATGTGCATTAAAAATGATTAATGCATTTTAAAAGAGCTTGCCAAAAAAGGCAGTAAAGTCCAAAAACACACTCCTGTGTGAACATGGTAACGTTTGATTAGCTTCATCAGTAGAGAAGTCTGCAGAATGGGTCACAGACCAGCCAACATCTCGTCTCCCTCCCCCTTCAGGGTTACTTCCCTCAGGGTGATTGCTGCGCTGCATTATTAAAAGATTAGCTCGACCACGGGGCATCAACATGCAACAAGGCGCAGGGCATGAAAGTAAACCCCATCAGGTTGTCTGAACGGAATGCAGAGCATCTAAAGTACGACGGGTCCACCTGCTTTAAGCAACAATCATTTAGACGTTCATAGACTACACATCTGGTGCTGTTGTTGTTTTTTTGGTGAGCCTTCACAATCAAACCAAAGTAGGCCTATATGTTATTGGTTGATTTCCCTGGTGCTGGATGAAGCATCTTCTTTAACCGTAAAAGCTCAAAACTGCAGGATTGTAAATATTTTAGGAACTACTTGTGGCCAATCCATCACTGTCATTCACTGAGAATGAAGTAGGACATCATTTGAAATGGAAAAAACTGATACATACCAATAAAAGGAGCACTTAGGAATTTTATAATCAATATGTGTGCTGCTAGCTTTGCCTTGAGTCTGTGTAAGGCTCATAAAATTGTGATATTTGCACACAAAAAAAACAGTGTTTAGCAGCGCTCTTTTTCTTACCTTGGCACATGTCCCTCAAAGACATATGTCTTGTTGTCCCAGTCATCAGGGTCAGGAGAGTAAACTTTACCCAGGACGGTTGTTGGCATACGGCCTGATGACAGAAAACAGCATTTTACCAGATAAACATTTTTAAACAAACAAACAACATGCATATAAAAATAGAAGCTGCATCTCTGCATGTGCGACTTCATATCAGTAAAACATTAAAAGTGTGTGTCGCATTTAACATTTAAGCTATAACACATGCATTGATATAGAGACATATTACTTAAAGGAGCAGTATGTAACTCTGACACCTAGAATCTATAATTGGTACAGTGATCCACATTTAAACATTACAAAGATCTGTCCCCCCCCCCCCCCTCCTCGATGCTCACTCAGGTCACCATGTGGTGGACTCTGAAGCTTCAGTGTTTATCCAGCTCTGCATGGGTCTGTAAACCTTTCTGTGTTCTAACCTCTCTCCATTTTTCAAAAGCATCTCCAATATTGATCCTAGTTTGAGCACGTTTCTGCTCGTGGAGCTTATTAGATTATGTATTGCGTATGATAAACAAATGTTACAGAGTTTTTGTTATTGACTTGTTCAACATCTGTACTTTGCTTTCAATATTTAACTTGACTGAACTGAACAATTGTGTTGAAATGAAATGTCATCCTGGCAAACAGATTCCTGACTTTTTGTGATGACTCATATTGTCTAGCTTGTTATTTGTTAGTTAGCTGTATGTGAGACATGCACAGGCTAAAGAAGACTAAACATAAAGCTGCATGTTCAACTCGAGCAGAAAAGTATTATTCTCACTTTTAGCAAAGCAACAAGGGAGTCATTCTGACCTAACGGTTTTACAGTTATACAAACGTTGATGATGTGGTGACTTTGAAACAGGTGTGTGCATGTGAATCTTCATTAAAGCACCCGTTAAGACTTAATTGGCCGGCATGAGAGTGAAGAGCTCTGTATAGATCAGAGTGTAATCGCTTTAGAAATCCTTATCCTAACGACGCAGACGACCCTCTCACCTCTGTGACTATTGATGAAAATCTTCTTCTCCCCCGCCACATGTGCGTGATCGTTCTGGTCCCCGATGGTCACTGTCAGCGTGCTGGTCACAGTTTTGGCTGGTTGTCCGCTGTCGCTCATAATAATCGGGATGAGGAACTCCTTCTGGCGCTCTCGGTCAAACGTCCTCAGAGCCGTCAGTGTCGCCGTGCCGTTGAGGTTGTCCTGGAGGTAGAAATCATTGCTGTGGCGATACTCGGAGGGGACAGTGAAGTGGAAGGGCGGGCCGTTCTCTGGAGAGTCCCGGTCCACAGCTCGGAGGAGGGTGGACGTTTGGTTCATCCTTACTACCTAAACAAGGAGGGAGAGCGTTAGCAGCTGTTTTTTAATCCATAACAAAACTGATTCATAATTATCTTTAGCTTCTACTGACTTTATTTTCCCCCAAAATAAACATAATCAGTTTTTTTTCCCTTGAGATTAAACCATAGATGATATAAGAAATGGACGTCAAAAGTATCTTCAAGCTGCATGATTTCTAACTGCCAGCAGGGGGCGACTTCATGGTCACATACTGTACTATGAAGCAGGAATTGCTGTCAGAATCAGAACTATGCCTTCAGTTGATGATGGACAAAACACAGACGCTCTGTAATGTATTTTGTTTACAGCTGAAACGTTACTGACGATAAGTTTCTGATGATGTCATGCACAACCACCAGTGTGGGTGTGCTCGTTACTGAAAAAAAGGAAAATATTACTCATTACTCGTTACTCTTTAAGTAATATAATGCTTTACTTATTACTCCCTGCCAACAGTAATATGTTACACTACTCGTTGTATTACTTTTTGTATTAAGCCACACGTTTAATTAGTTATTTCCGCGGCCGCAGAAGGCTCGTTGGTGGGTTTATTTACAGGAGCTTCACGTTGTTGTGCTGTTGATGTAAGTCCTTAAGGAGGTTTGAGGTCGTGTTCTTTGCAGTAGAAAGAGACCTAGTACCGAGACACACTCTACATCTGACAACAATGTTCTTGTCATCTTTCCTCTCGAGAAAACTAAAGTAATGGGAATATTTCCAACCGCTGAATGTAAACATGAGCGCTTCCATCTTCCTAGCTAGCCAGGGTTGCCAGGTATGTATGACAACAATTGACAAAATAAGCCCAATGGCCCAAAAAAATATTACCCGCGGCAGCACCTAAAATGAAGCCCAATTCCGCAGGAAAATTGCAAACCTGGCAACCATGAAGATCGCTACTTTCCTGCTTATCTGACGTGTGCGATGAAATTGTGGGTAGTGGGGTAATAACAACAACAGTAAGGTAGTAACAAGTTATTTTTTGCGTGAGTAACTGTAATATTATTACTGGAATTTCATTAGTAATTCATTACACTCCTCGTTACTAGTAAAAGTAATATTATTACTGTAATGCGTTACTGCCCAACACTGACAACCACCGGCTGAATCAAAGTAAGCATACACACTTAAATGTATAACGTTATATTTTATAAGATTGAATTGTTTTCCTATTTGTACATCGGATCTCCATGGTGCGAATACACACTACTTAAACGCCAAGTTCTCTTTTCACTGAGACTCTGCACAGGGATTTAGCTGGAGTACATTTATTAAACACCCGAACCATGAGGGGGGGTCCACACAGATCATTGATCAGCTGCAGACTGTTTCTCTACATACAGAGGGGTTTGTTGACAGAAGAAAACACAATTCTTAGAAAACTTTTTTTTTTTTTGTTAGTTCGATTCGACCATCTTTAAAGTCTTCTCTAACTTTACCAGAACAATTTTGGTTTCAAAAATGAAGACCCTGTCATCTAAAAAGGTCACTTCAGTCTACGAATCCACAGGAAGGTAGAGCACATCAAACCAAAGTCGAGGTGTCGAGCTTACCTGTGGTCCCGCCACGTTCTCAAACACGACCGGCGAGTATGACGCTTCAAACTCTGGCCCGTTATCATTTACATCCAGCAGAGGCAGCTGGACTGTGGCACTGCCCGTTAGAGGTGGAACCCCGTTATCGGTTGCTATGACGACCAAGTGATGCTGCGCCACCCTCTCCCGATCCAGAGGCCGGGCCACAGAGAGCAGACCGGACTGGTTGATGGTGAACAGCCCCTCGGGATCCGAGTCCTCCGACAGGCTGTAGGTGATTTCACGGTTCTGGCCTGAGTCAGAGTCGCTGGCGACGAGACGTGCCACACTGGTTCCCACGTTGATGTCCTCAGGTAGTGGGGCCAGAGACAGGAAGTGCGGGATGAAGACGGGAGCGTGGTCATTGTAGTCCTCCACCTCTACCACACAGTGCAGGAGACTGGAGAAGTCCAGGTCTTCAACCTGAAACAAGAACTTCATAATCTCACATGTCTCTACAGGAACAGTTCATGAAGTTTTAAATAAAGAAATCTATCACAACAGAAAATAGAGAGCATGGACAAAAGTGGCTGTGATCTGCAGAATGTATCCAAAGTGATTTTTGATGTACCAAGAGCTTGTGAAACATTAAAACGTAAAGTTACAGCCTTGTTATTGTAAACTATATCCAACAGAATGACAGTATGGAGGTGAAAGGGGTAATGATTACCCTAAACCCCATCTTTATAAAATGCTAAATGGACTTGAGCTTGTTTAAAACATTTTTAGTCTTCTGACTTCTCAAAGAGCTTTTTCACTGCAGGTCACACCTCCACATTCACACGCTGATGGTAGAAGATGTTTTGTAAAGTGTCCTTCAGAAATAACTAATCCATTCAAACACCACAGAGGAAGCAGGGGGAGCAACTTGGGGTTAATGTCTTTGGACATGTGGCTGCAGGAGCTGGGGATCGAACGCCGACCTTCTGCTTAAGAGACGACCAACCACAGCTGCCCCAAATGATAGGAACATTTTTTTTTTGTAGCGTTACCGTAGCGCTAACACTACTGATCTGACTGAATGTGCACACGTTGATTTAAATCATATGCTGGGAGGGCCCATTCACTTTCAGAGGAATAGCCATTTCTGTGGGCGGGCCTGCTCCATCATATATCCAATGAGACGCGTGTTTCAAAATGAGCACAAGACTTCTAGATTTATTTTCTAAATCATTTCATTAGAGATCCTACTGATCGCCACCAGCAAACTCTAATAAGTTCTTCCTTATGTCTAAGTATATGTTTGAGACAAATGTGAAAATATGCCCTCCTGCTGCTCCGGAGATATTATGTTTTGAATAATGGAAAAGCAATGAAGCACATATAAATGCCTCAACAACACATACACCTATTGAAATAATTGCTGTTTCACTTTGATTTATTTCCACTTTACTTCCTCGATAACAAAACTTCAAGCAGCAGCTGACTTTTAAAACATTTTCCAGCAGCTTCCTGTCAGAGCCACCAACCTAAGAAGATTAAAAGTTGCCTTTTTGAGCTTTAAAGTTCCTGTTTCGGACATATGGCACCTTCTTTTGAGATTTGGGAGTCTTTGACTTAGCATTTGGCAGACGGGCTGACAGGTTGGTTTGAGGGATTCACGAGAGCTAAGGAAAAACAAACAACTCTGACAGCAATGCTCATAAAAAATTCTCCAAAACTCTCTTTTTTTCCCCTATTTCTTCAACAATTTTGCAAACTTTCTGAATGTGAATGAACCAATGTTTCAAATGCCTTCCACAATCTAGTATTTCATATTTCCACAAGCTCAAAAATCAGACACCGAAGCGCAGAAAAGTCTGTTCCCCATTCTCACCTGCTGCACACTCTATCTATTGAAATGAAAACCTGTGAATTAGAGAATGACATATTATAACAGATATAACAGGACCACATACCTTCAGTGTGAGATTGAACCGCTGCTCGCTGTGTCGTTCGTAGTCCAGGCGTTTCTTGAGCCTCAGGGTGCCACGTTGCTCCTGCTTGTGACTGACCATGTAGAACTTCTGCTCCTGGTCTCCGGCGACAACGCTGAAGGTCAGCTGGGCGTTTTCCCCGGTGTCTCTGTCTTCTGCAGCCAGCTCCAGGACCTACGGCGCAAAGAAAGAGGTCAATGAACTGCACACTAAGGACAGGAAACAACAATAACAGGAGAACAAGAGATGACTAAATGCACACATGTAGGACACTCAGAAACAACAGAGGTACCTACAATGTTCTAAGTCAGTGTTACTCAACCCGAGGCTCTCAGGCCACATGAGGCACATTTGGGACTAGTTGTGGCTCTTTTAGGTCCTACTTGGAAAAAAAAATACAAAGTAATTATTTAAAAAAGGACAACATTGTCATCAGAAATTACTCTTTGCAAGTCATGTCCCTTTGTTTCCCACACATATTTTAGGAAAGAAAGGTTTTTTGATTGTGGCTCTTGCAGAAATATTCTGGGACCTGAGTGTTTTAAGTGCTCTGTGGACAGAGGTACTTGGCCAGAAATCCGATCCCTTGACGTTTTATTCGTACCTGATTACAAAACTGAGAAGTACAAAAGGCAGAAGCCTGAAGGCATGCATAAGCCCCGGTAAAGTCAGTGATGGATGTGAAACTGAATACACTTGGCATGTAGCCTGGGACGTAGGGATCCAGTTGTTTCTCTGAGTCTTAAGTGGTCCATTTGCTTCTATTTACTCGAGCTTCCCGAAGTCTTTAAAAAGATTGCTCTGTGTTTGCTGAATCTGTCTGTGAAAGTCAATCACACCACAGACGGTGCGGAGTGAAGCGAGCGCAGCCTTCACAGGCTCTCTTTGAATAAAAGCTGAAACCTTGTCAGTGTGTTTGAGTACTTTAGACGGTGCACTCTCTCTCTTTTTGTCGGGTTAAAAATATAACTGAGATGCGCAGGTATTTAAAACTTCAGTACCAGTCAATAATATCCATACTGCGTATCCATGACAACCTTGTTTGAGAGATATTCACACCATCAGTAAATACTGTTTGTGCTGCTAATGACAGAATGTAATAAAGGGGTGCCTGATGAAGGGGGGCGCCCCCTCCTGACCCACCTGCGCATTGGGTTCTGCGTTCTCAGAGATCCTCGCCACACAGGAGTGGTCGATGAACCTCGGAGCATGATCGTTCACATCTTTGATTTTAATGGTGGCAGTCCCAGTTCCTGTCATCCCTCCTCCATCCCTGGCCTCCACGACCAGCAGGTACGACTCCACCTGCTCCCTGTCCAGGCCGCTCATTGCCACGGTGATGGTCCCCGTGGTGGGGTTGATGGTGAACATCTCCGAGAAGGTAGGCACGCCTCCCGCCTCGAGGTCGGCGGCGTCCAAACTACCTAGAATCCTGTACGAGAGCACGGCGTTCTGCCCCACCGCCGAGTCGTCCAGGTCGGTGGCCGTCATCTCCATCACAGACGTCCCGACCACGGAGTTCTCGGCTACGTCTCCGTGGCAGCTGGGGGCGCAGGTGAAGACGGGCGCATTGTCGTTGATGTCCCAAACGTTGATGATGACGTCCGTGAAGCCGGTGAGACCTTCCCCGCCCTCGTCCGTGGCCAAGACGACAAAACGCCACACGGCTCGCTCCTCGCGGTCCAGCGTCCTCTGGGCGTAGATCTTCCCCGTGACCTCATCAATAATAAACTCGCTCTCTGCACCCTGGCCGTGCAGGGAGTAACGCAGCGCCTCCTGATCGGCGTCCTTATCCGGGTCGGAAGCGGTTACCTACAACATCAAAGGCACAGACAGAGAGGGCGATGAGGGTGTAATCACTTTTTAAACTATTTAATTATTTAAAACGTTGCTGACATGAAGTGATATCTTGACTGGAAGCATTTCACCACCGCTCTGCATACTTATAAACTCTCCGGTAGGTAAGCCTGCTAATGATCCGACCCGCTCAAGCCCAGTGCTCCACTCCATCCTGCCCCCTCTCCTCCGACTGCTTCCCTCTCACTCATCCTCAGCAGCAATTACACCCCGGGCCGGCCAGAGATGTTTCCATTTAGTTCAGTAATTGCAGTGTGATGTAGAGCTAATATTAACTCGGGTTCATTTGAAGAGGGGGAGATGTGCTCTCACTTACGTACAGGGGGAGAGAGCACCAGGCAAACAATAACAATAAAAAAAACTTTATTGATTTTAGTTCAAAGGAAAGTATTTATTCTTAAGTGAAGAGACTTGGTTAAAAAAATAAAAAAACAAGAGTAATTATTCTCCCTGCTCACGGTGAGTCATTTGGAGAGAGCTACTCATTTTTAATGGGATGGTTTGCCACACGTTCAAATATCTGATTCATTATAAAACACATAGCTTGAGGGTTAAAGCTTGAATGATTTCTTTTGTAAAGGCTCACATCCGGCACTGACAATATTCAGCAATACTTTGCATTTTTTTTTTTCATGTTTTAGACTGGCTCTCGTTCACTCTTAATGAAGTTCATGAGAGAAAAGAAACAGAAATGAACCTCTTAAATGTTTTCGCATTATAGGCAACAGGCAGTTAAAGGAACAATGTGGAGCATTTTTACACATAAACACATCAGAGATCCAGTCTGTGTAAATGTGTCTCTGAGTCCTGACTGTCTACAATGAGGGAGAAGCTCGAGTCCCGCTGGCTGTGTTGTTGTCAGAGCCGTGTTTACATGGACGGGACGGCCGGCTCCTCCCCTTGTGTATAAAAGCTGTTTTAGTCAAGAACTAGAGAGAAGAAGAACATACTCACTGATTATTTGGATGTCACGTAAGTGATTTATGATGGCGGTCATTCTGTGTCAGTTTACATGAAATGTGAAGCTACGAGCTAACTAAAGAGCGCTAACATTAGCATGCTAACCCTAGCATGCTAACACAAGAATGCAGGACACAGGTGATTGCAGCTCGAGCTTACGCTTATTACATAAGGCAGTTTTTTCTTACCACTGTAACTTTTGCTGCTTTGCTAAAGTGCTCATGATGGATAGGCCGGATCTTTGTAACATAACAATGAGTAAGGTCTTTTACCTGCTTTTTGTAAAGTGTCTGGAGATAACACTTGTTATGAGTTGACGCTATACAAAATAAATTGAATTGAATTGAATTATTGGTGCTTAATTATGGTGCAGTATTTAAGAACCATATTGTTTATGAGCATTACATTTCTACTTCAAATAATGCTAAATTGCAGAATATAACACACATCATACTCTTAGAGAGGGAGATGTGGCTCGCTCCATCACTTAGCTGAACAATAATGAGTCTGTACCTGTAACACAAAGACCGGCGAGCCGTCCAGCTCTTCTGTTACACTGCCGTAGTACTCGTTCACAGTAAACACGGGAGCCTCGTCGTTCTTGTTGACCACGTTGACCGTCACTGTCGTGTAATCCTCCCACTTTCCATCTGATGCCAGGACATGAAGCTTGTACCTGTGCGGAGGTTTCAGCGTCATCAGGGTCTTTTAGAAGTAAGCATCACTTTGCACTGTACAAAACACTAACATGTAAAACTTAAGATGTGGATTTAAGTTCCAGAAATAATCACATAATTCATTTGCTCCGTAAAAATCTTTCAAAAAAAGAAGATATTCATGGCTGAACGGATCCCTCCAGAGTATCGGTCGTACCTTTTGTTTTGCTCGTAGTCCAAAGGCTGGGCGATGAAGATGGTGCCCACCTCTGGTTCCACATCAAACACCCCTCCCGTGTTGCCTGATGTGATCTGGTAGCGCAGCTTTGCATTTCCACCTGCACGGGAGAAGATGGAGCGTGAATGAGGAGTGACAGTGTGTATAAAAGAGCTCTAGTCACTTACATAGAGAGTAAGTGTTTGTGGAGCGAGCTGTGGTGAAAATAATAGGCGAGTAACTTAAGATTATTCAAACCATGAAAAGAGCTTTGGTGAACCCCCCCCCCCCTCGGACTGGAAGTCTCTATCTAGTCTGTGTCTGCCAATCCCCAATCTCCCCAAAGTGAGACAGATAGCATCAGCCCGCTTCAGCTGGCAAACTGGAATCAGACACGGAGTCTTTCATGTGGTCTGATACGAGTCTCTAAACATTCTGCCTGTGCCCTGACAAAGGGGACAACTGTACCTGCTGCATTATAATGACAAGAAACCAACACAATGACAAGAAAGATATAAGAAAAGTTAAAATATGTTAAAGCCCTGCGTTACAAAGACTGCAAAAAGGTAAAAAAGGACTTTGGGGTTGCAGTAGCTCAATCTGTAGGAACTTGTGCTGGGGACTGGAGACTAGCTGGTTCAAATAATTGGTCTGGTTTCTGGAGAGGTACCAGTTCACTTCTCGAGCACTGCCCAGCGGCCCTTGAGCAAGGCACCAAACCTCCAAATAAACTGCTTGGGCCTTCTTTCATTTTTAATCATTAAAGCGGTAGAATTCCTGCTTAATAGTGATTACTTAGAAACATGTGATTGGTGTTGTCATGTAAGTGATCTATGTATGATGTAGGAGGATATAACACAAGACATTTCATGGCTCAGGATACAAAGAGTATTTGCTTTCACGAAGGTCATGCTAGTTGTGGAGTTAACTTTGTACTTGATGCTGTTTTTGAATTTTAGTTTTGTTGGTGAAAAGTCTAAAAGTACTCTTTTTTATTGTATGCAACCGAGACTAAGACCCCAAGAATCCATTTGCAAAAACATGCACCAGATTTTATTTTATTTTTTCAAGCCCTGAGGGAAATTCTTCACCTGGACTTGAAACGACAATCCTCCGGTTCCAACCCAAGTCTCTACGGACTGAGCTACTGCCGTAGGGACTGCTGCTAAATGTGATGCTGCTAAATGCACAAATTTCCTCCACAGGGGATCAATAAAGTTTATCTTTATCTTGTTAACATTGATAGAATCAGAATCATCCTTGTCGGCCATGTTTGCTTACAAACACAAGCAATTTGACTTTAGTGAAGGGTGCTCTCAATGTACAAAAGTATACAATTAAATATGAACAATAAACACAACATAGCAAAGACTAACACTGACGCAGAGACTCACTTGGATAGCATTTATATGATGACCTTTGAACTATATCAGTAAGGACCAACTACGACTGTTTAGCATGACGCAGGGTTTATCAGTTCCTGTGGTTTGAAGCCTATGTAGCTATGAACCTTAACTTTATCATCAAAGGCACTTCAGTGAATTTTAACTGAATAATTAAAACTCCATTCCTTCAAACATTTCAAACTCATGTACCTGAGACGTATTCTCTTAGCTCTGTCATCGTCTCACTTTATGATCTCTGCAAAACACTCTTAATAAAGTCTCTTAGACGCTGATCAACAAACCGTTCCCGCTCAATGCAATTACTCGAGGTCTGCGTCTCAATCACAGATGCATCTACCAGCCCTTCATGTTAATATGAGAGGGAAAGGAGGGAACCTCTGAAGACGCGCTGAGACTCCCAGCTTGTTAGCGAGATGAAAGTCAAGGAAGGAGAGAGGAGAAAGTGCTAATCCTGATCGTTTTGTACCGTCTGTCTGTTGGCAATGTAAATGAGACGTTAGGGGATATATATATGTGCGATTGCATCCCCTCTCCTCTCTTGTCTCAATCTCTGAAGTATTTAGAAAACTGCTCGGACCCAGAGGACAGAAGAAACAGCGCTAGATGTAATCAAACTGTTCAAATAAACAAACAAAAAAAGAAAATTTATGTTTTATTTTTCCCAGTTGTACCAATTTGAGCGCTGTTTTCCCCTCCCCAGGTACTTTAATTTGCTTTACTCAAACGGCTGTACACAGGGAAGAGAACAGGGACTTAAGAAGACACACACACACACACACACACACACACACACACACACACACACACACAGCCGACAGACCTCACTAATACCCAAGGCTTCAAACAAATCGCTTTACAGATGGCGTTTAAAGCCAGATCTTTATTCTTGCTTCGACTTTATCACTATAAAGAAAACAGATGATGACATGTTCTATTGGTTATTAATATCACCATGGTAACAATGCAACAATGACTAACTGAAGATTAGGGATGACAGCTCACGGCTACTGATTGGCATAGCAACGTAGCAAAAAAAAGCTCTCTGACCCCAAGCTCTCCAGGTGCACAGCGATAGAAACATTCAAGTCACAGAAATGTGTTTCACTGGAAGTAGAGAGTCAACACACTCTGAAATGGAAGAACCTGAGCAGGTAAAAAAAAAAAAAAAGTTCTGATCAGACCAAAGCCCGTTCACACGTGATGTAATCAGGAACATGTCAGGAGGAGGACCTGCGAGTGAGAACATTCACGTCAGATTTTCAGATAGTCCGTGCACGCTGCGTTCTGTCCCATCCTGTCAGCGCTCATGGTTTTGTTCTGTTGGGCGGTGGGCGGCGCCCTGCCACACTGAGTCCTTTTCTTGAGCGTGAGCGCAGCCATGAGCAGCTGAACTCACAGAAGAAATACAAGATCAGTCTGAGTTAAAAAAAAAAGAGAGGCCAGTCAGTGAATCTATTTATACAGACACTCAATAACTCTGATCCTGCCAGCGCTCAAGATCAAAGCCAGTTTAATGTCGGAGTAAGCCGATGTGTAAACCCATCAAGTCATTTACAGGACGATTTACAGCAAGAGGATCTTTCCTGCTCGCTTGTGTTGCCGGTATGTTGTTGTCCACTCCCACTCTTGTATTTGGGTTATGTCATTAAACATGTTGTAGTGGAACCAACCCACTGTTTGGGAATCATCTCTTAGATGAAAATATTAAACAACCAAAAGGCATTAAAGGAACCTCTGATAGGCTCTGATTTTTGTATGTTAGAAAATGTTGATGTTGCCTAATCTATTCCTTAAAGGCTTTATCTGTGATTTTTCACTCTTGAATGTATAAATCAAGTATCTCCTCTGAAAATAACTCTGTGAGTCATGACTGTCTACAATCCTACGAGTCCCACTGTCTGTGATGTTTTCAGAGTTTTCAGAGTCCTATCTTCAGTTTGTTTACATCGCCGGGACGGCGGCTGACTCCTCCCCTCGTGTATAAAAGTTGTTTAATTGAGGGACTAGAGAAAAGAAGAATAACATACTGTACTCACTGCTTAACTGTGTTTCTAGATCACGCTCATTTCAGGTAAATTTACATGCAGTGTGAAGATACCAGCATAATAAAGATCGCTAGCATTAGCATGCTAACACAACAATGCACCGCGAGTTGTTTTGGTTTCATGCTGGTGCTCAAGGGCGACATCTGCTGGATCGCATATAAAGCCTTTAAACTAACCAAGAAATGTTGGAGCCTAAAACATAATCCTTTAAGTCGTCAAACTAATCGGGGCTTGAATCAGTCCAGGGCTGTGGAGAGGTTTGGAGCTTGTTAAGCATGACTTTGTTCTTTTCTCTCCCTGAGTTTCCCTCACTTGCTTCCATTCACAGAGGAAGTTTTGTGTGAAACACTGAAACTCATTTTACAAGTCTGGCATCAAGATAAACCCTCAACAAGTTTCCCCTTCCCTCCTGGCTCATCGTCTTTATGTGGACAAAAAACCATCAGCTTGAAGTGCAGCTCCGCGCCGAGCGAAGGTGCAGACATTTTCTCCACATTTAAACTGAGCAGAGGAGGAAAACGCTCGAAGATCGTACATTCATACTAATTCAGGGGAGAAAGTTCACATTCAAACTGTAATGAGCCGTCTGAATTGAAAATATTCAGACGTGTTCGAATGTCACGTCATATTCTACATTTGGTCGAAGTTGATAGTGAGAGCACTTGTGTTAACGCTGGCAGACTCTTAGTGGATAGGGTGCTAAAACGGGGCAGATGGCGGGTTCTACTTCTGCGCAGTTCATGGTGCTATCAGCGAGCGTTAGGCTTTTTTTGGGTTATGCCCACAGGTGCAGTGAACCCCCAACCCCCACTGCGCCCGTGCCTTTAAAAGTCTTGAAGAAAAACTTTCCAAAGGGGGCTCCATGGAGGAAAACTCTCTACCATTTTACCAACCCATAGCTCCTCAGCGCATGCAGGGTGACGTGCTTCAATCAGCCAAGACTGATCAGAACAAAGTGAGCTTAAGTAGAACATGTCATTCTGTGGGAGCGGATGCAAAACCAGAACATCTTGACTCATAAATAGGGCAATCAAATGTAGGTTTGCTATTTGGATAAACAGAAACTTCTGAGAATGTAAGTCGACAGCTGCTGCTCCTGCTAAGAAGGAGGCAGCTCGGCTTCTCCGCTCCTGTAGTGTGTGGATGAGCAACACGGGAGAGAGAGCGTCTCTGGGGGTGTGTCTCTGCTGACTGGTGCTGATGCAAGCGCTGCCTCTGATTGGTCTGTTCGAGGAGATTGCTGCTGCTGGGTTGGACCTTTGATCCTGACCAACCCCTTGAACACTGAACCGGAGATACAGGGTCCCATGTTTTAATAAGGTCTAACTGGAACACTGTTTTTGTTCACCAGTCAATTCTAAAATTGAATGCGGAGTTAAATCCCAGATCAAAGCAGGTTTAAGTCTTCTGAATATTTGTTTGGTGTTTGAATGTTGTTTCAAATCTTATCTTTGTATCTTTGGATTGTGTCTTCATTTTTATGATTGCTGTGATGCAAGACACATTTCAGCCTCTGTCTGATTAAAGTTCTATGAATCAATCAGTTAAATCCAGCATGTGTCTGTGTGTTGATATCTGCAGGTTTGTGTAGACCTGATTTCTGACCGTGCTCAGGATAGAAGTCAAGCTGAATCTGGTGATTGTTTCCTTTGTCTAAAATGAGCATGTTT